CTGAATAATAAAAAAATCAATTTATACTAAGAAAGCAACATGGTTGCTGAAACTGAAAATTGTGTAGAAAAAGCAGAAATGTTAGGAATAAAACGTCAATGAATTGGATAAAAAATACAGTTAACAGAATAATCAGCAGGCAAAACCTTACAGAAAGAACAATATCAGAAATGGGAAGCTAATTGCACTCAGGCATTAACAAAAAAATAGCTATAATTGCTTACTGGAACACTGGGATACAATCAGAAAACCAGATCTAAGAATTTCTAGGGTAGGAGGAGCTTTGGTACAAGGCTTTTCAATGAAATTATAGCAGAATATTTCCCAAATCTTAGTAATGATATAGACACTCACCTATAGGAGGCATTTCAAACCCACACAGACGTGGAAAGAACAGAACAAATAATATCATAGCATAACACAAATGTTAGATTGAATTGTTCCAGTTCAGAGCTCCTTATTCTGGGTAATTTGAATCCATGTTCCAGGGCCTCGGTAATCATATTTGGCTCAGAATAATTTCATTGCAGTTATTCAGACAGTATATTCAAGCTAGATGTCTAGGTTGAAAGTGCCCACTCCAACTTTCTGTAAGCGATATCCTATTGTCTGCACTGTCCAGTACTGCAGCAATTCAGTCATTTTTAACTATGGAGCACTTCAAAAGGGGATAGGATGTCTGAAGAATACCATCTTAAGTGGTTAAAAAAATTCACTTAAATATGCAGGATTAATAGCCATCTTTTTGTTCAGGACAAGTATAGAACCCTCTTGAGAATTCTTAGTCAACTAGATACAAAACAATTTGCTGTAGTTTGGAAATATAAATGGATAGTTTTTTTTGGGGGGGGGGGGTGGATCTTGAGGTTCTACCTACAGTGAGACTTGTCTCCATCCATCCTTGAACATCTTCAGTGCGAACTTCATGTAAAGATTTCTTAAACAAATACTGAATAATCTTTTAACAGTGGGAATTCAACTTTCCCAAGATACATCCCAAGAACATGGGCTCTTAACGCCTGACCTTTTCTAAAATCAACTGCAATGTCCATTTCAACAATTCTGTATAGATCTCAAGATGTAAGGGTGGTGGAAAAAAGAACCCTCAAATAAAGTAACTTTTATAAAAAGTTTAAACAAAGAGAAATCAGATCACTCTCCCTCCTCATATTTTTCCACCACTCCCTGCCCCTGCCCTTCTTGGAACTTCAATAGGTTTTTTGTGGTTATTTTTCTTTTCACATATGTATAAAGTACTCTGACCACATTCACCTCTTCATTCCCTCTTTTTTAATCCCTTCCCACCTTGAAACACAACCTTTCTTACATCTCTTTGAGGGCTACTTTCTGCAAATGAGAACAGGAGATGCTTGCTAAGCAGCAACTCTTTTATAAAACTACTTGAAAAAAAAACCCATTGTATGCATGTTTTCCCCTGTATACAACTAATATGCTAATAAAATAATTCCTGGGCTAGAAATTCATAGCTGATCGGCTTAAAGACTCATTTCTGGGATTTAACTTCCTTATTGCTCAACTGTTATCTAAAGATTGCTTCAAGTACATGCCACACCAGACTAGGAGGCAAAGGGTTAGGGAAAGTATGTCCCATTTTTTGGAGGGGGAGGAGGAGGTTGCCCATCCTGGCCTTCAACTCAGGCCTGGGTGCTTTTGCTCATAGCTAATGCTCTACCAATGAATGACACAAGTCCACTTCCAGGATTTTTGCTAATTTATTGCAGCATCTCACAGATACTGCAGTATCTCACAGATTTTTTTCTGCTAGGGCTGGCCTCAAAGTGTGACCCTCAGGTCTTGTCCTCCTAAATAGCTAGGATTACAAGTGTGAACCACATGAACCCAACCAAGGATGCCCAATATTGTGGCATGCAACATATCAGAACCATTCACAATCCCAGAAGTCAGTAAAATGCACTACCACCTAGTTATAAAGGAGTCTGAAAAGTAAGGTTTAGTAGTGGTTGTTTTTTTTTTAAATTTTCTGGATTATAATGTAACAAACTAAAAATTGGGGTTTTATTACTAAAGGAAGAAGAAAGAATTGATAGTAAGAGATAAACAGCAGTATCTATGTTCTGGAGTCCACATTAATGAAAGAAGCCTACACTCCAGTGGTGAAACTGGAGATATAGAAGGCCACACCAAACATTACCTTTATACATCTTTCATTCATAAATTTAAAAGAAATTCAAGTCCTGGTGTGGCTATGATGCTAGCTACTCAGGTGGCTAAGATCTCAGAATGATGATTTGAGGCCCAGCCCAGTAAGACAAATCCAGGAAACTCCATTTAGTAAAACATTGAACGTGGAAGTATAGTTCAAGTGGTAGAGTGCTAGCTGTGAGTGAAAAAGCTGAGTAAAATACAAGGACCAGAGTTCAAACTACAGCACCAGAAACACACCCTACCTGCAAAAACGTTTTTTAAAGCAAAACAATTAATGCAATTATTTTTCTTCATAAAATAATACTTTTTATTCTCTATTTATTCCAGCACATAAATGTGTATGTGTGCCCACTAGAACAAATCACAACTCAAAGACACAGAAGCAGAAAGTTTATTTACTTAATACATTTCACAACTATTATATTGGATAGTCATCATTTAAAATAATATTCTAGATACTTACAAAAATAAATCAAGTATTGCTTCTATTTTTCAAGTGTCAAAGACTTTGCCATAGAAAATAGGAAGGACCTTTAACAAACTGAATGTTACATGTAAGCTATCTCCAGCTTAGTTACTGCATGAGTGCTTTATAGATTGTGCTTTACAATTTCCAAATTCCTTTTTGCCACGTACAGATTCACAGTAAGAATGTATGCAAACATCCACATTGACACATTTTACACAGGAATGTTTTTCATTAAATATGCCCAGTGAGAACCAAATAAAGACAGTGCGCTCTGAGTTCATGCTGCAGGTGCGTACTGCACAGACACAGTGTGGTGTGGAGGCATTACATAGCATTCAGATTACCCAAAGTGGGGATGCCTTATGAGGGAGAAATCAATTTTGTATTTCTAGATGAGACATTCTTAACTATACTAAATCATAGCCTTATTCATTGAAAAAATAAACTTCTAATATTTCTCAATACATTAAGTTAATCTCAGCATAAACATCACTCTAGTATACTTACACTTTAAAAAGAGAAATGACTATTCATAGAGCAAATGCTCAGAATTAAAGATCATTTCCAAATTGGTCTGTGGTCTGTCTTCATAATTACCAGGGCATTCAATTTAAGCCTCCCTTACAACACAGGTTTGTATACCTCATAGTTCGTGATGAATATTTATAATGCTTTACCACCCACAGGGTGTCAATCTCATTATTAACCAGATGTGGAAAACAATCTCACTTCTGATCAGTTCCTGAATTTCTGACTAATTACAGTAATACAGAACTTTACATTAGTTTTGTATAAATACTCATATCCAACATTTTAAATTCAACTTATCACCTAGGAAAATGAAAAATCAGACTTGTTTTTCCTCTATTAAGAAAAAAAAGGAATTTAATTTCATGCCATTACTCAAAAATTACATGATTTAGAAATTCCAAGTATAACTGAAAATTAATGAGGAATTGAATTGGAAAACACTAATTTATGGAAGTTGATTTGTTACAATAAACTGCACTAATGGGAAGCTTGAGGAGCTTGTAAAATCTAAATTAGTAGCAAATAGAAACGCCAACGGAGTAGATATACCTAAAATATACCAAAATGCTATAATATTAGAAAATTTTAAGAAACATGCTAGAATATTTTCACTGTCTTACTTCATTTCACTAAAAGTCACAGGCAAGTCACAGACACTACAAGAAAATACAAAAAATTCAACAACAAAACTTCACAGATAGAAAAAGAACACAAACATCAACACCTACAGAGGTAGTCAACAGAAGTAACCCTGATAAAACACAGTATCCTAGTAGATGTTCCTGAATCTCATAGACCCAAACCTTAAATTCTTGTTTTCAGTGGTTAAAAGAAAATTACGTGGCAAAAGTTTTAAACCACATTATCTAAATGGTAACACTGCAAATGATACAACACTCACATATGAAAAGAAAGGCTGGGAAAAAAAATCTAGACCACAGGTCAACCAGTTGTTGTAAATAACATCATACTGAACCTTAGACATACCTATTTTGTTTATATATTGGTACAGCTTCCTTTACACTAAGGACACAGTATTTACAACAAAGATCATGTAGTTCACACAGCAGAGAAACATTTTATATCTGTTCCTTCACTGAAAAGATTCTTGAGGGGCTGGGAAGGTGGCTCAGTGGTAGAGCGCTTGCCTTGCATGCATGGGGCCCTGAGTTCGATTCCTCAGCACCACATAAGCAAAAAGAAAAAAGAAGCCGGAAGTGGCGCTGTGGCTCAAATGGTAGAGTGCTAGCCTTGAGCTGAAGAGTGAGGGACAGTGCCCAGGCCCAGAGTTCAGGCCCCATGACCGGACCCCCCCCCCCCCCCCCCCGCAAAAAAAAAAAAAAAAAAGATTCTTGATCTTTGGGCTGGGAATGTGGCTTAGTGGTAGAGTGCTTGCCTAGCATGCATGAAGCCCTGGGTTCAATGCCTTGATACTATATAATCAAAAAAATAAATAAAGTTAATAAAAAAAGAAAATAAAACTCAGTTAAAGAAAGATTCTTGATCTTTAGATGTAACTGTTGGTAGGCCCACCACTAAAAAGATTAACTATAGTTGATACAATATACAGTATTCAACCATACCCAATGTAAGATACTAATTATGTCACAAATCAGTCTCTCTTTTTATCTGGTATAGTTAATATTTCTTCGATTTTTTTGATCCAAAGTCAAAGAGCATTTATTTCTAGGTTATAAAAAAAATTTAGTGTGACATTGTCCAATGAACATAATTTGTATCTGGAATGTCCGATGCAGTGGGCACTTCTCACAGGAGGCTGCTGAGTGCTAAAGATGTTACTGATACAATCACATAATCCAACTTTTCATTTTATTTAACTTGCCACATGTTGCTGTAGCTACAATACTGAACAACAGAGATTTAACACAACTTCACTAACATTCCAATATTGTGATTTTTAAAGATGACACCCTAAATTAGAAAGTAACACCTTTGAAAATACCAACTTTGGGCAGAAATGAATACTACAAACTCAGCCCAAGACAAACTCCTCAGTAAGTAAAGAAAAATTAAACTGATGCTAAGCTGTTTTGTCACTGCAACATCTCTTGTCAATGAAGATATAAAATGATTACATCATGATTCGTTTATAAAGCAGAATCCATGATGGTTTTATGCTTAAGAGGAGTAGCTAAACTCCTTATTAATTACATTAAAGAGTGTGAAAATCTTTCACACAATTTCAATTTGTTTCCTATCAGAAAGGCACCTCTTAGAAATGTCAGTTTGTTTCCCACCCTTAACATTTCAAACTCTTCAGAAGCCCTTGTGTACAGTAGGAACACAGGAAACTGTGACCTCTTCAGTCTTTTTTAACTATAGCTAAGTTAATACAACAGTCAAATCTTTCAAGCATTATACCTTCCACAGCATAACAAAATATACCCATGACAGATGTAGCAGAAGTAAAACCTTATATATAAGCCAAAATAAATTAGTTTTATGATTCTCTAGGTGCCTATCTCAAGGCTTTTTATATAGACAAAAACATAAAATGAATTTAGACCCATTTCAAAACTATATACTACAGATTAAAAAGTGCAAATTAACTTACTGATAGTTAAAAACATTAAAAATACTCCTGAAAGACAAATCTTTGAGACATGTGCTTAATTATATATTCCAATTATTCAAATGTGCTCCCCCTAAAGAGATAGCCAATTCTATACCTTGTTCTTAAAGTGAGCTGGCGAAATTAATTTGATGTGTTTTGATTTTAAAATAGCTGGTGTCAAGCATCTTAATCTTTTTTGTTGTTGTTGAAAGGTACAAACATTTTAAGGGCACTTCTGTTTGTTTATGGTTTCCTTTGCTGTTTAATCGGAAGTTGTGGCAGGAACTTTTGCAGAGAGATTTCTTCGGGTGTGGGTGATGTGCCGCTGCTGTGCTAGGAAGGACCGGGCAGGAGTGCACGCGACAGAGTCTTTGCACGTACCACCACCACTCACAAGCCGAGACTCCATCCCCAGTTTCTGGAACGCTAGACTCTAGATAGGAACAAAAACATATACACATAAATAACATAGCTAAATAGGTAGTCTGCAAAGAACTCACATTTAGTCCTCAAAATAACTATAGAAACCCACAATAAAATAAAAAAATCACTGGGCGCCAGTGGCTCACGCCTGTAATCCTAGCTACTTAGGAGACTGAGATCTGAGGATCATGGTTCAAAGCCAACCCAGGCAAGAAAGTCATGAGAGTTATCTCCAATAAACCACTAGAAAACCGGAAGTGGTGCTGTGGCTCAAGTGGTAGAGCACTCGCCTTGAGCTGAAGAGCTGAGGGATAGCACCCAGGCCCAGAGTTCAAGCCCCAGGACTGACAAAAAAATAAATAAAAAATAAAAATCTAAAAGCTGACTAAATCTGTACATGTCAATTTTAGTAAGGCAGCACTAAACCCAGTTTCTTTTCACTAAACTTGAAATTACTATAATGAGTAGCTTAAAATAACGTAAGAATTAGGCTTAATTACAGAAATAGGAAGAAATTCTAAAGCAAAATTTTTATGTTAGGGCTATCACTCCACCAATTATGAACAAACTAACACATAGAAAAGCTTAGATTGGCCAGGTGCTGATGGCTCACTCCTGTAATCCTAGCTACTCAGGAAGCTGAGATCTGATTATGTGGTTCAAAGCCAAACCAGGCAGGAAACTCTGTAAGACTCTTGTATCTAATTAACCCAAAACTGGGCATGGAGCTGTGGCTCCAAGTTAGGGTGTGCTAGTCTTGAACAAAAAAGCTGAGGGACAATGCTCAGGCCCTGAGTTCAAGCCTCAGGATCGACAAAAAAAAAAAAGCCAAAAAGAAAGAAAATCTTAGATCGATGGTTTCTGAAGTGCAATCTATGGATACACTGGTTATTTATCAGGGAAGGCATTACTCTCTCATTAGAGCTCATGATGACAATTAGTTAATATACTGTGCTACACCTTTTTGACTTAGGCATAAGAGGACCACAGAGGAACAACAAAGGTACACTCCCTTATCTCAATTAGAGTGGTTAATGTATAAGGAACAGTTCTGAGAAAACCTCACCAAAATTACAGACCTTCTAAATTAAGTCAGATTTTACCATAGAGAGAAAGGAGGGCAAAAGCACTGAGCGCAAGGGAAGCATGCTAACTAGTCAGGGAAAGAGCACTACTGCAATGTGCTGAAGCTCAGCATCCACCTAAGGGTATACACTGATAATCCTCACACAAAACAACAGATACAAATTACTGCCTATTCAGATTAGACTATTCAAGAGAACCTCACACATCACAAAATCTAACACTGTTTTTTTCTTCTGGCCTGGATGTCGTCCCTAAGCTTTTTTGCACAAGGCTAGCAATCTACCACTTGATCCCCAGCTCCACTTCTGGCTTTTTTCTTGGTTAACTGGAGGTAAGAGTCTCAAGTCTTTCTGCCTGGAATGGTTTCAAATGGTGATCCTTAGATCTTAGCCTCCTGAATAACTGGGATTATAGGCATGAGCAACCAGTGACCAGCATGAAATACAGCTCCATATCCTACTAATGCTAATAATTACAACACAACATTCAAATTACTTCATACTATTTTATTTTTGGTAGGACAGATGAATAATTATTGAAGAGTTCTGCTTGAAGAATTTGCATTATGCATTTTTTAGAAACCCTTTATGAATACAAATGAATGTTTCATCTCAAATAAAGCAATTAAAATATGGTTATGCCTGTGCATATATATGTATTAACTAGAGGTTGAAAAGTCATGAAATTAATCAATTACGATCAACATTTAAGGAAACAATATGCAGTGTACAATGTCAGAATAACTTTTTTGTTTCAGTTATATAAACACATTAGCCTAGTTTATGGCATAAGATATATCTCTTTGTATTGTTCCTGGTCAAAGTTTGATAAACAATGTCCTAGACTTCAAATAATTGGTTAAATTTCAACTCACCTTATTGTACCAGGCAGAAACAATGAGTTTTTCTTCATAATCGCGAAATTTTGCTACCTTACACTCACTCTGGGAAAAATTATATGAGAATCATTAAAACACCATAAATGCTTATATACTTCATAAACTGAAACATGTATCCAGTTTCATTATTACAGAATAAGAAATGTACATTTGTAAGGCAATGCAGTAATCAAAATGCAAACCAAGTCACAACCTTTAGATTAAAATGTATAACTAATCTCTGTACCAACAGTTTCATAAAATTCTCTCTTACACACACACACACACACACACACAGACCACACACACACACACAAAATGACTCTTTACACTGTGGTTCCCTGTATCTTGGCTTCAATATCAAGACAGAGCTTCATTTGTGTAGGAGTCAAGACTAAAGAGTAATAGAATAAAGTTAAAAAGTAGGAAGAATACAATAAAAATCACTTGCAATCCTTAGCACAAATAGTTCTTTTTCAATTCCTGATGGTCTGTATTCTCTGTAGAAATATTTATGTAACAGTGCAGATACTGATATACTTTTCTTAATTACTTGAACACAGCTAATTTTGCAATTCCATTGATAGAGTTGGCCTATACTCTTGAAATACTTGCATGATGCTGTTGATGTAGAAAGCACATTATTCAAGTTCAGGCAGCCTCCTGCTGTCTATATTGTATTTCTCTTTCTGCAGTGTGTAGAGATGAACACACTGAAACTAAACACTTACATGAGGTAGACATACTTTTTCTCAAAACTTTACATTTAAGAGAAAAAATTTTATCATTGTACTTTTTGGGGACATGCTTCAAAGATTTGCAGTGGAGAAAACAACAACTGATACTTCAGAGATCATCCAGCTGCCTTACTATTTTACAGAAGTACAAACTAAGGACCAGAGTAGGAAGGTGAGGACTTTAAGATATGTTGCCAATAACCTCTTATTCATGTAATATTTAATGCTGAAGATACAGCTTTGTCTACTTCAAACATGTGCCAAAATAAATAAATAAAACCCATTTCTCTGTGATAAATCCAGGAGTTAAAGTACACTGATTCACTGTGGAATGTAGAACTGCTTCTGTATAAACATTATATAGAATGTTTTATAGAGGAAAAGACATTTGAGTTGGATCTAGAAGAATAAACTGCATTTCTTATGCAGACAATCCTTTCCGGTGCCTTTCAGACATGTTCTGAACAAGCACGCATAAGCTTGTATATATTCTGGATGTACAAAAGAGATGATGTCAAAGCTGTGATGAAATATTTCCACTAGAGTCCATACATCCTTGCTCAAGAACAGTACCCGGAAAAGATACATGAACACAATGTGTTTTTCTAAAATTGAATATTCCTAGTTAATTTAAACAGCAATCATTTCTAGGCCAGAATATATTGGCTTGAGGAGCAGCCCCAATAATTACTAGTTTTGTAAAAACACTTTGCAAAAGAAACTAGAGCACACAAAATTACAAAACCTAAGATCACACAACTTCATACTGACATACTAGAGTTTATAAAAATACTATAACCATCAGCAAAACTGAGATTATGCATTATATATTACTATAACTATGTAATTGCTACTTTAGTTACAGAGATAATTAATGTCATGCCATTATTGTTAGAACTCTAAATAATAAACATGATTGCTACTTCAGCTCATGAGGGAATAACTGGGATAACATGATCACTTTCTTTTCCTAAAACATCCCAGCTAAGGATTTTTAGGCTCAGACGAAAGACAAGAAACCTAGATAACTCAAGGCAGACAGTACTTTGTGGAGAAGGCAAGCAATTACTTTTCCCTCTTTTTCTGTTACTTTTCCTTCTTTTTCTGAATGAAATCACTTCTGCATAATTTTAATAGAAGCATGATAACAGTACTCTACAAAAAGGCAAGTATAGCCATACGATTTGCCATTAGACTGCAAGAGAACAACCCAGCAAATAAAAAGGGCATAGAAACCTTGCTTTACCCCAACCTTCTAGGTTAGTGAAGCAGTAATAAATGTGTACTTCTACTTCTAACATTTTATGATGCCTTATCATTAATGGTAAATATATGACAAAAGTAAAAGTAAGAGATAAAAGAAGATAGAAGTTTTACCTCCAGAATCTCAATTCTTCTTTCTTTCTCCGCTAACTGCTTTCTAAGTAGCATTATTTCAGCTGAAGCTGGATTTAACTTGGGATCTAAAGTTTTTATTACCTGTTAAAAGAAAATTTATATTTACTTTATCTTTTATTAAAGTGCAAAAAACATTAAGAATATACTCTATAAAAACTGTAAATGGCAGTAGAAAATTACCAAAAAGTCATCCAGAAGCTAAAGGTAGTTTATTTACAATAAAATCATTTACTATAGTCAGGAAATGGCATAAAAATTCATTGCAACAGGGGAGAGAACCTTATCATCCAAACAAATTTTTTTAAGGATCAATACTTAGAGAGTTGCTCAGCCTTTTTGCTGCCCAGCCTTTGAGCACTGAGATCCTGAATTAAGTCTTTTATATTTTTCTGAATGGAAAATAAGAAAATTACAGAACTTGCTGATTTTACAGGCTAATGGTATGAAGCAATTCTTAGCAAACTCTTGGTAAAGTCTTGTTTACTGTCATTACCACCTTACTATATATATATATAACCCACTATATCAGACTAACCAACACTGATAATTCTACCTGCAGACAGAAGAGCACTGTGTCACATACCTAGATGAAGTACTAAAAGTTGGTTAAAAGGAGATATTTGATAAGAATGTTGTACGAAGACTTGAAATATGGAGATAGCATTCTGTCAAGAAACCAATTTGATTTAAAAAATCGGTATAAATTATAGGCAAAATTATTTTTCTATTTTTATTTTTATTTATTTTTTATTTTTTTTTGGTCCGGTCATGGGGCCTGAACTCTGGGCCTGGACGCTGTCTCTCAGCTCTTCAGCTCAAGGCTAGTGCTCTACCACTTGAGCCACAGCATTACTTCAGTTTTTTTTTTTCTTTTTTGCATATGTGGTGCTGAGGAATCGAACCCAGGGCCTCATGCATGCAAGGCATGCACTCTACCACTGAGCCACCTTCCCAGCCCTATTTTTCTATTTTTAAAGACTTCAAATTTTCAATGAGGTAAGATATTTATAAAGGAAAAGGCCAGAGGTATGATACCATGATTGCTGGGGTTAATGAATTAAAAAATCACTTCCTGAGTGTCAACTATATGGCAGATACAGTGGGGGGGCTGGGGACACAGGGTTGCAAGGCCTGCCTTCATGAAGTTTACATCATAAAAGCTCAGTACATAAAGAGAGAGAAAGAGAGAGTGTGAGTGAGTGTGTGTGTGTGTGTGTGCGTGTGTGCGTGCATGCGTGTGCGCGCGCGCCAGTCCTGGGGCCTAAACTCTGGGCACTGTCCTTGATTTTATTTTTATGATTATTATTATTATTATTGCTCTAGGCTAGCAGTCTACCACTTGAGCCATAGGTCCACTTCTGGCTTTTGTGGTGGTTAATTGAAGGTAAGAGTCTTCTGCCTGCCCAGGTTGATTCAGCTTTGTGAGTAACTGGGACTACAGACATGAGTTACCAGCACTCAGCTCACATAAAAAAATTTAAATTAGCTATAAAGAACAAACCATAATGCTATCTCTATATGATAAAAAGTATGGCTATCATGGTCATGTTTTTTTAGGTCCAGCAGGACTTGAATTCTGTACCTGACACTTTGGCTCAGTGGTTAGCACGCTACCAACCAAATCACGTCTCCAACCCCTGTGATATTCTTATATATTCTGAATTTCCTATTCTGGGTATCTGTTTCTCTCAAACTACTCCTTTAACTTTGTCTCATATAATAAAAGAAAAAAAAATCATGTTCATCAAAGCAATAAACTCTCTTTAAAGTGATAACATTCAATTATGGCCAAAGAGGAATTTACTATCACTGTTCTCTTATACCCTTTAAGAATGTCATAATTCCATTTCTAAGAAAAAAAGTTCACTAACCAGAATAAAGGAAAGCTTTACACATAATATGTTGCCTACAGCTTATTTCTAGGAGTAATAACTGAAATACATGCAAACAACTATAAAGAAAAGAAGATATATTAGCATTATGTGTGCATCATAAAATCCTTTAATCCCAAGAATAAAAAAAGTAGATGAATACTCTCTAAGCAAATACTTGTAAACTGTACCCATGAAAGTAAAACAATACCTACTAAGAATTTAATCAAGTGAACATCAGAACAGTATTGAACTGTGTGGTATAAAGGGTAAAATATTTAAGTCCAGCCTCGGTTACAGTGAGACACTGTCTTTAAAAAAGGGTAAAATAATTTCAATCAAGTTTAAAAAGTTACAATTTCACAAAAGCTTTACTAGGACTCTAGCAAATATTATTCTTAGAAAAGTGCTAAGACTCCAGTAAATAAAATTTTGAGTATTTTGCCAAGAGCAAATGAAACTCCATTAAGTTACAGTAGTCCCATTCTCTAGTGAGTTACTCTAATTAGTGTTGAAGCTGCCCCTGAAGCAATGTGTTTATTTTATCTGACTCTGAGGCTTGACAAAGAGACACCTGAGGTATCTGACACGCAAATTAGTGCAGAGCAGTGACTCTTCATGGACGCAACAAAAGCAGGACAGTCAGAAAAACAGAGCCAACTGAAATATGAGCACAGAGCTTGAGCTGTGTGAAATAAATAACTCACATTCCTTGCTTTCTCCAAGTACATTTTGTATCGTTCCTCCATTGCTTTCATATCTTCATCTTTCTTCTGAAGAGCAGCTTCAAGTTCACTGATCTTTTGGACTTGTAGTGAAAATAAAATGAAACATAAATAATTACTTCCTATTTAGCATATTCCATTCTCACCAAATACTATGTACATCAAACTTATTTTTCAAAGACTGAGAACTAGAAAAGGAAACTTCATTTCTTCTTTGCAGTGAATTCTTATCAAAACTTTTGAGCTACTAAGCACATCTTCAGTAACTCTTCACCTATACTCTAATTCAGCTATTATTCTATCAACAGTTTGAATAAAGAACAAATATAATTTTGAATGCATGCCCTACTATGACAGAAAACAAAGCATACTTCTATTGTTTGAAACTTTCTTTGAAATTGTTTTATTCAAATTTCCATAATATTAATTCTAGAATATATAATAATGTTTGATACTCCTATATACCAATCAGTTGATGTTTTTAGTTTTACATTGCTTTCAGATGACATATCTTAATGAGCTTAAGCACAAAAACTATCATGGTTCCTATTTGCAATATATGTATCTACACATTGTACAAAGATGTATACACAGCTCATGTATCCTTTAACTAGAAAGGAAAGATCTTTAGATAAGAGTCTGATCCAAATTTTTAAACACCTACCATTCTGATTTATATCTGGCTGAAGATCTTCAATGAGCTCTTGTTTCTTCTGTAATTCTTCATGGACCTCTGTCAGTTTTTCCCTAAGTAGTAGAAAGAGCATGGAGCTTGGAGTAAAACATACCTAAGGATGGAAACTGGTCTACACCCGGGTAACATCTGTAGAACTGTAGAAGGCCACTTTTTGTTCTTTCATTTCCTCCCCTATGAAATGGGGATTATACTTATCTACCATAGAAGCTGTGAAATGCAGAAGTTTAGGTGGCTGCCAGGCAGGCTGAGCCATGAACATGTTAATTTCCATGTCTGACAGCAGTGGTAAGCATTCTGTATCAGGGCATGTACCTTAATTTACCAAGTCAGAAAAGGACACAAATTCCAGAAGTTTCTACAACCTTTTGGTTCTCCTATTTGAAATGAAACATCAATTTTACTTACATATGAGCTTCCAACTTCCGCTTTAGTTTGCTGGACTACAAAATTAAAAAAAGTTCCTGTAAGATGACTATTTTAACAAAGGCAAATTTTCCAGACATCAAAATTTCTTTACCAACCTTTTGAAGGTGAACTATGTAAAACTACACATGCTTTTGAATTTTGTATATTTTGTAAAAAGCATACTTTCAAGAGCATAAATTTTGTATTTTTTACATTAAAATAGGAAAGAAAAGGCAATAGGAAATGAAAGACTTTGGTAACAAAAAGAAATGTCTCATATTTTTGTAACATAATTCAAATTAAATTTGAGTTTGAATAGCAAATGCAAGCTGAATGTGATATATTGTGGAGTATCAAACACTACAGTATCTACAGAATCACTCAAAATTATTACAAATTTTAAGTTCTACCTTCATAATAAAAATGTTTATCACTATAAATGTAAATATTAACATAAAAAATCAAATAACTATATTTCTTTCAAAAACCAAACTTAAATGTAAAATACCCTGTTTTAAATAGAAGCACTTTATCTGACTACATTCCTATAATCCTAGCACTCAGGAGGGCTGAGACAGGAGAACTGCAAGTTTAAGGCTAGTCTAGGCTGTATGATGAGTGTGTAGCCATCCCAGGCTACTGTAGTGACATCTTGGGTCAGAAGAGCAAAAACCAAAACAAATTAAAAAAAAAAAACACCACACAGTACTTCAGATTGCAATGGTACTTCTGCAGTAAGTGTACATGTGCCAAGATAAAAATATAGAGTCTAAAAAATATAATTTGGGTAATTATTAATTTAAAATGAAAGATGAAGAAATTTAAGACCAAATACTGCAATCTAAAAATATAATTCCCCAAACAGATCGGTGGCTTAAAAATATTTGTATTAGAGAGTACAATACCGTATATATGCACATATGAGATGCCGCCATGCATGAGACGATTTCTATGTTCCAAGCCCCCAGGGAAAAAAGAGAAAATCATATAAAGTATATAAAAATAGAAAGGAAATGCAACCCTTTCCATTTTTCTCCTCATCTCTACATAGTCTGCAAGTTCCTCCCCCATCAGTATCTAATACCCTGCCTAATTAGAATTGATGTCTCTCAACATAAAACCAGCCCCACTCTTTTTGTTATTTTAAAGTAAATACACCCTCCTTCTCAATAGTTATTTCCTTTCCTACCCATATTTAGAGCTCAAATTATGAGCTCTAATTATGAGAAAATTCTCTAAGACTTAGGCTAGATTTGATCTAAGTCTGCTAATGTCTGCTGGCATAGTGTCTGTCAAGACTGTGAGTGTGCAAAGAGGTATGAAATAAGGGTTGATGCCTTTAGGAGTACTGATGTGCTGTCTCTCAAGAGTCATTATAATAATTTATTTTCCTATTAGAAGGTTTCTGATCGTTGATTACTCTCATTTGGACTTATCTCCTCGAGAACTACTGGAGCTCATGTTTCCAATCAAGAATTATCGTGAACTTAGGTGGGTGTAACTAAGTAGGAGAGATAGAAATCACCATATAATGTATATGATCAACCTACAGGCTTCAAGTGGCAAAATCAATGCATCTGTTATGCAGATATATACGGTATTTTAGGGGTACCCTCAAGGATAAAGGCTGCAGTTTCAAATGCGAGATTAATTTGAGTACATGGGACAATTATAGAGAAACTATACACAGTAGAACCATTATGCTTTCTATTACTTACACTTTCGCCTTCAGACTTGGAGCCATGCTCCTGTAAAGATTTTTGGAGGTCTTCAATCTGCTGCTGCAATTCTCGAATGCGTTCTTTGCTCAGCCTATGAGTAGATGTATCATGATACATTTATATTTAAAATCAAAAGCACTTAGGGTTCTATAAAAGTGTAATCATGTAGTTTAATTTAAAAATATACCTATGATAGCATAACAATTGCATAACAATTGTTTGTTATGCTTAGAAGGCTACTTCTAACAACTTTTAACAACTTTTTATTTCTCTCTTAAGGGCAGATATCCAACTCTTTTCATTTAAGGCAAAAACATATTTCTGCACTGTACTCTCACTGGTTGAAAAATTAGAAAACCAAGTCAATTTTCCTTTATTTGGTTTTTTAATGAGTAGAAGCTTGGTATCTTTTTCTGTTTCAATTTCAGTGTTTTGAGAGAATAGAAAAGTCACAATTTTCCAATCATTTCATGGATTCTGATATAAACTAAACAAATTGACATTGGAAACTACCATGTACTTTATTATTTTTTTTTTATTGTAAAGCTACTATACAGAGGGTTACAGTTACATGAGTGAGGTTATGAGTACACTTCCTCTTGAACATTGTTACCCCCTCCATTGTTTTCCCCCTACCATCCCCTCTCTCCCTCCCTTCCCCGAGGTTCTTTTTTTTTTGATTGTGATTAAATGATTACATAATTTCAAAGTCACAAGTTCATTCTAACTTCCCTGGAGCAAATTGTCTACCACAGTCTGTAATATATAACAGTGTTCACATGTTATATACCATATTTGTGATCAGCAGCACGGGGATATTTAGTAGTGGTTCAACCAGATGAGCGGGAGTTCTTTGTTTCTTAAGTCCTGTTAGTTTTATCGTATCACCTAACCTTTTGGATTTAGCATCCACTTATCAGGGAGACCATGTACCGTTTGTCTCTTCGTTCTTGGCTTACCTCGCTCAACATGATTCCTTCTAGCTCCATCCATTTCCCTGCAAATGCCATTATTTTGTCATTTCTAATGGCTGCATAATATTCCATTGTGTATAGATACCACAGTTTTTGGATCCATTCATCTGTGGTGGGGCATCTAGGTGGTTTCCATATCCTAGCTATTGCGAACAGTGCTGTAGTAAACATGGAGGTGCACGTGTCCTTGTATATTGGTTCCTGTTGTTCAGGGTAGATGCCTAGAAGTGGTATGACTGGGTCGTAAGGGAGGTCAATCTTTAGCTTTCTAAGGACCCTCCAGACTGCTTTCCAAAGTGGTTGTATAAGTGTACATTCCCACCAGCAGTGTAATAGGGTTCCTCTTTCTCCACATCCCCTCCAGCATTTGTCGTTGGCTGATTTGTGGATGTGGGACATTCTGACTGGAGTAAGGTGGTATCTCAGGGTTGTCTTTATTTGCATTTCCTTCACCACCAGGGATGATGAACATTTCCTCATGTGTTTCTTTGCCATTTTTATTTCTTCATTTGAGAAGTCCCTCTTTAGTTCCCTTGCCCATTTAGTAATTGGTTTGTTAGGTTTGGGAGGGATTAGTTTCTTGAGTTCCCTGTATATACAGGATGTTAACCCCTTGTCTGATATATTGCTGGTAAATATTTTTTCCCAATTAGTTGGTTGTCTTTCTAGCTTAGTTACAATAGATTTAGCTGTGCAGAAGCTTTTTATTTTAAGGTAGTCCCATTTGTCGAGTCTCTCTCCAACTTGTTGTGACCCTGGGACTCTGTTCAGGAAGTTCCTTCCTGTGCCTATTAGTTCAAGTGTCTCTCCTACTCTGTCCTGCAGTAGTTTCAGAGATTCAGGTTTAATGTTAAGGTCTTTAATCCATTTTGAGTTGATGTTGGTGCATGGTGATAGGCTGGGGTCCACTTTTAGTTTTCTGCATGTGGCTGCCCAGTTTTCCCAGCACCAGCGGTTGAAGAGGCTGTGTTTCTTCCATTGTATGTCTTTGGCTCCTTTGTCGAATATCAGCTGGCTGTAGGCCTGTGGATTTATATCTGGATCTTCTATTCTGTTCCATTGGTCTTCGGGTCTGTTTTTGTGCCAGTACCATGCTGTCTTTGTTATAATAGCTCTGTAGTAGAGTTTGAAGTTCGGCATGGATAGCCCTCCCATATTGTCTTTATCCCCTAGAATTGTTTTGGCTATTCTAGGTCTTTTGTTGTTCCATATAAATTTTTGGACTGTTTTCTGTATTTCAGTGATGTACGTCATTGGGATTTTAATAGGAATTGCATTGAATTTGTATATTACTTTTGAAAGTATCACCATCTTTACTATATTAAGTCGGCCTATCCAGGAGCATGGGAGGTCTTTCCATTTCCTAGTGTCTTCTGCAATTTCTTTCTTTAACTTTTTATAGTTCTCATTAAATAGTTCTTTTACATCTTTGGTTAGGTTAATTCCTAAATATTTTATTTTTTGGGAGGTTATTGTGAATGGGGTTGCTCCCTTTATTTCCCTCTCTTCCTGTACGTTATCAGTGTATAGGAAGGCAACTGATTTTTGTGGGTTTATTTTGTATCCTGCTATTTTGCCGAGGTGACTTATGATTTCTAAAAGTTTGGGGATGGAGTTTTTGGGATCGTGGAGGTATAGTATCATGTCGTCTGCAAAAAGGGATAGTTTAACTTCTTCGTTCCCTATGCGGATCCCTTTAATGGCTTTTTCTTGCCTTATTGCCCTGGCTAAGGGTTCTAGGACCATGTTGAAGAGGAGTGGAGACAGTGGGCATCCTTGCCTTGTTCCTGTTTTTAGGAGGATTGATTGTAGCTTTTCCCCATTAAGTATAATATTGGCTATTGGTCTGTCATAAATGGCTTTTATTGTTTTTAGAAATGTTCCTTCTATTCCTATTTTCTCCAGAGCTTTTAGCATGAATGAATGTTGAATTTTATCAAAGGCCTTTTCTGCATCTGTGGCGATAATCATGTGATTCTTGACCTTGGCTCTGTTGATATGCTGGATTACATTTATTGACTTACGTATGTTAAACCATCCCTGTGTCTCTGGGATGAAGCCTACCTGATCATAGTGTATTTTTTTTTATGTGTTTCTGGATTCTGTTAGCTAGAATCTTGTTAAGGATCTTTGCATCTGTGTTCATCAAGGAGATTGGCCTGTAATTCTCCTTTTTGGTTGGGTCTTTGCCTGGTTTGGGGATGAGTGTGATATTGGCTTCGTAGAATGAGTTTGGGATAGCTCCCTCCTTCTCTGTTTCTCTGAAGAGCTTGAGGAGTATGGGTATTAGTTCTTCTTTAAAGGTCTTATAGAATTCTGCTGTGAATCCATCTGGTCCTGGGCTTTTTTTTGTTGGAAGACTTTTGATAGCTTCCTGTATCTCATTATAGGATATTGGCTTATTTAATTGGTTGACTTCTTCTTTGCTCAGTTTGGGTAACTTGTATTTCTCTAAAAATGCATCCATTTCCGCCAGATTTTCTTCCTTTAGAGAGTATAGCTTTTGAAAGTAGTCTGTTAGAATTGTTTGGATATCTTGGGTACCTGTTGTGATGTTTCCCGTGGCATCCCTAATCCTATTAATATGGGTTTCCTCTCTTCTTTTTTTAATTAATCTTGCCAACGGGCCATCAATTTTGTTTATTTTTTCAAAGAACCAGCTTTTTGTTTGGTTTATTTTGGTTATGGTTTTCTGATTTGCTAATTGGTTAATCTCTGCTCTCAATTTGGTTATCTGGCTTCGTCTAGTAGCTTTAGGTCCCATTTTTTCTTGTTTTTCTAGCTGTTTTAGTTGCAACATGAGATTATTTACTTGGTCTGTCTCCATTCTCTTGATGTGGGCACCGAGGGCAATAAATTTGCCCCTCAGGACTGCTTTTGCTGTGTCCCACAAGTTTCTTTGTGAGGTGTTTTCATTTTCATTGAGTTGTAGGAAATGCTTTATTTCTTCTCTGATCTCTTCTGTTACCCAGGCCTTGTTAAGGAGTGTGCTGTTCAATTTCCATGTATTAGAGAAATTTCTGCGGTATGCTTTGTTATTGAGAGCTAGCTTGATTCCACTGTGGTCAGATAGGATACAGGGGATTATGTCGATCCCTTTGTATTTGCTTAAGTTCCTTGCATGAACTATGATATGGTCTATTTTGGAGAAAGTTCCATGAGCTGCTGAGAAGAATGTGTACTGTGTTGTTTTAGGGTGAAATACTCGGTAGATGTCAGTTAATTCCGCTTGAAGTATGGCCTCACTTAATTCGGTAGCTTCTTTGCCAATCCTCTGGTTGGTAGACCTGTCCTTTGGTGAGAGTGGCGTGTTAAAGTCTCCTAGTATTATCGTATTGGGATCTATTTTATTCTGTAAGTTTGAGAGCATTTGTTTAACACATCTGGGTGCACCGATATTTGGGGCATATAAGTTGATGATGGTTATGTCCTCCTCTTGGATTGTTCCCTTTATTAATATGTAGTGTCCGTCCTTGTCTTTCTGTACTGATTTTAATGAAAAGTTTATTTTGTCAGATATCAGGATAGCTACACCTGCTTTCTTATTGGGGGCATTTGATTGGTAGATCCTTTTCCACCCCTTCACTCTGAGTTTGTTTGTATGTTTGGCTGAGAGGTGGGTCTCCTGAAGGCAACAGATGGATGGGTCTTGTTTTCTGATCCAGTCCTCAGTTCGTTTTCTTTTAATTGGCGAGTTCAGCCCATTTATATTAAGAGAAAGTATAGAGAGATGCATTGTTGTCCCTGCCATTCCGTTTTCCTAAGTTTTTCTTCTTTCCTTTCCTCCTGTGCTTGCTCAGTTAGACTTTGAGTAATGCCTGTTTGGGGCAGGTCCCAGTTCCTGGTTGCTTTCTTCAGGTTGTGTCCCCCCTCTTAGAATTCTTTGTAATGCTGGCTTAATGTTTATGTATTCATTTAGTTTTTCTTTGCTATTAAAAGTTTTCAGTTCTCCATCGAATGTGAATGCTAGCTTTGCCGGGTATATCAGTCTGGGTTGGCAGTTATTGGCTCTAAGGGCTCGTATGGTGCTTTCCCAGGCTTTTCTTGCATTCATTGTTTGTGTGGAGAGATCTGCAGTGATTCTAATTTTTTTCCCATTGTAGTATAGCTCCTTCTTCATTTTTGCTGCATGCAGGATTGTTTCCTTATTATTCAGATCCATCATTGTTACTATAATGTGCCTAGAAGTGTTTCTCCTGGAATCTTGCTTGTTGGGTGTTCGATAAGCTTTTGTGATGTAGTTAAGATGGTCGTTTTTGAGGTGGGGAAAATTTTCATTGACTATCTTGTTAAATAGGTGTTGCATTCCCTTGCTCTGGAATTCCTCACCTTCGTCCACTCCGATTATGCGAAGGTTAAATTTTTTAGCATTATCTGCTTGCTCTTGAATTTCCTTTTGGTTTGAGTGATTTTTCCATATCTGTCACTTTTTGGTCCAGTTGGTGTATTCTGTCTTCTGTATCTGACACTCTACCTTCCATTTCATTCACTCTGTTGACCGTGGCTTCTATTGTGGTTTGCATGGTGGAAATGGATCCCTTTATGGATTCAATGTTGGTTCTCAGAGTACTGATCTCACCTCTCAATGAGGTGAGATCAGTATGCATTACCTCTAATTTGGCGTTTATCTCACTTCTTACTGAGGTTTGTGCAGCTTCTATTTTTGCATCCAACTTTTGTTTGATGTCCTGTATATCTTTTGATAGTTCATCCTTGTGCTCTTTCAATTTCTGATCCATTTCTCGCTTTATTTCTTGAGTCATTGCCTCCAGCAACCCTTGGATGTAGTTTTTGTCTTCCATTCCTGCTTTGCTCCCACTGGGGCTCTCCCCTGCGTGGCTGCTGGCTTTTGAGGTGAGCTTGCTGTCCTGGGTAGTGGTAAACCTTGTGATTTTTCTCTGTGATTTTCGCATGGGGGTTCAGGAGACTGCTCTTCAATCTTGTTTTGGTGTGTCTGTCTTTGCTTGGTTGCTGATTCTGTATTGGTAGAGAGAGTCTGTGCCTGATCTGAATTCTGTTGGGAGCCTATTTCCAGCTGCTATTCTGACTTAGGATTCTCAGCTCTCTGCTGTAGCAATTCCCGCCTTTGGAAGGGTTGAGCAGCCTAGACTGCTTGTGTTTGCTCCTGCGGGTGCTCTTGGGAAGATCAGATGCTCTGGATGCACTCTCCCAACTACTGGAGTCTGCTATGGGCTCCTGATGTGTTTTTGTTTGTTTTGGGCTGGTTGTGGGCTTGAACTCTAGGTTTGGGTGCTGTCCCTCAGCTCTTCAGCTCAAGGCTGGCACCCTACCATTTGAGTCACAGCCCCACTTCTGACCCTTTTTGCTTTGTTCAGGTGCCAGTCCACAGGCCTGGTTCCGGCCCCAGCCTGGAGCGCGCTCGTTAGGCCTGTGCTAATGTGTATACCACCTAGGTTATGCAGCCTGGAGGACACAGTTCAAATTTCTTCTACTGTTGGTAGTCTTAACCCAGGGGCGCTGTTCCTGGCTTGGGCATTTAAGCTCCCTTCCAGGGGCGCTCTTGCTCTGGCCTGGCCAGCAGAGTGTGCTCCACTGGCTGGTGGAGCTCTCGAACAGTTCCCAGTTTTAGTGGGTCCTGTGGTCCAGGTGTTGGGGTAGGGAGTCTAGGTCAGGGTCTGGGGATTCCCTCCAGCTCTGGTCTCCCTTGATGGGTTCACTGTCCCCTGTTGGGTACTCACCCTGTAGGTCGTCAGTTGTTGTTGCAATCCGAGTTCAGTTGGGGTGGTTGCGGGCTGGGTTGGGCGGCCCCCCGCCGGGTTGCTGCGATCGTGATTGGGCGGGTGGTCTGCCGACAGGTCCCTTTGTCGCGCTGCTGGTGCCGGGCGGCTTTGGCGGGATGGAGCCTCTCCGCTCCGGTGGAGAGTGATGGGTGGGGGTGGGATCCTCGTGGAGACTCCTGGCTGTTAGGTTTCTCTGTTCCTGGCGATCCGCTGTTCTGCAATCCGGTACCTGGTGATCTGCAAGCAGCCCCCTGTGTCTCTGTGGCGCCGGCGGCTTGGCGCACTGCCGCGCGGCCAGTAAAGGTTGGGGGAGGGGTCTTCGCTCTTCTCTGTTCTGAAATTCTTCTTTTCCTCTCTTTCTTTTTTTGTTATTTTCCACCTCTGGTTTTTCTTTGAGTGTTCGTCTTTTTGTTGTTGTCCGTCTCTTGGGGAGATTAAACGTTGGAACTCGAACTCTCTTTTTGGTTGGAGAGAGCTGTGGCGTTTCCCTACTGCCCCGTCGCCATCTTGGTCTACCATGTACTTTAACTTAGCAAAGTTCGATTTTTTCAAACTCTTCTTAAGTTATTCACAAGAATTTACCAGCAAGTTATTTTGTTCTACTTCTCATCTATACGCACGCACACACAGATGTTACATGTGGATATGACTGACACACACTCCTGTTCATTACATACAACACTTCACTACTACAATTATCACTAACATGATAATCATGTACTCTTGTGTTTATCACTCTACATCAATCTTCTAAATAATTTTAATCATCACATTGGTAACAGGTAAGTGTACAGTTCAGGGTTAGGAAATTGGCAGTTGAGGACAGTGAGGAGGAGCTTGAATAGCTCTCCCACAGTCAGTTAACGAGGTAATACAGAAGTGGGGTTCACAATCTGCCCTATCTATCCACTCTGCTACAGAAACAAACTGTGACTTATTCTTTTGTTAGGTTTTCTGTCAATTATGAAGCTATCTAATAAAATTAAAGAATAAGCAACCTGGTTAATCAAGCCTATTAGCATTACTTTGTGTTCTAATAATATGTTCTAATAAAATACATTAATTGGCTTCTTCAGCAAAGTAAAGCTTTATATCCGCCATATCTGCCAAACTGCTTCTAAATAATGCAAAGATAATTTCCACTTGCATAGGTCCTGATTTTGAGAAGAGGTAACTAAATCACATAACTTACGATGATTAAAAAAGCAACGAGGAGGCAACAATGCTTGTTAAGAAATGTACTCATTATCTTGCCCATGTAATTGTAACTCCTCTGTATGGTATTCTCACAATAAAAAAAAAAAAAGCAGTTACCTCTGTTCAGTTTCAAGTTCGTTCATCTTGCGATGTTTCTGCTCTAGCTGCTCCTGCAGTTCTTCAATGCGTTCATTCTCAGTCCCTTCCTGCTGCAAGCGAAGCATCTTGTTTTCATGCTGAAGACGAATGAACACTTCCCTAATATTGAAAACATTTTTTAGTTAAAAAAAGTTACTATATGCTTTTTCAAAAAGGAAAGTCCTATTAATAGCGAACATTTAAAAATATTAATGAAACAAGCAAAAATCATGTACATGGAATTCGATTCCTCAAAATCAAGTACTATACTATATATGATTAAATTATTATAATTACATTCCTAGATAATAAGTCTTTAGTAGCTTGGAAATACTCATGGAAAGAAATTATATATTCTTAGAAACTATGTAAGTAAAAATCAATAAATGTAAGAAATTAGCTTGCTAAAACTTTTATACTTTCATGACAGTAAGCAGAAAAGTCTTCAAATTTTGGGGATGATTATTAAAGATTTATGCATATTTTTGTGTATATGCAGGCACTGGGGCTTGAACTCAGGAATCTGTGTCCTCACTTGGCTTTTTACTCATGGCTGGTACTTCCAATATACATACATTCAAAATGCAATTTAGGCATTAAAATGAAAAATCTCTTCTTGATATTAAATAAGAAAATAATACTTTCTCTCCTCTCCAACAATATTGTCCCAAATTATTTCAACCTGTTCCAACTTCTGTTCCGATAAATGGCAGCACCATAACTCTAAAATACAAGCTTACATGGCTCTTTTTCAAATCAATTTTATCATAATGATTGAATCCTCACTAAGAAAGCTAAGTAGCTATTTACACCTTACATATTTAACATTCACTTCATCAGAGGTTTGTCTGCTGCAATGTTTTTGGTTTTCTGATAATTTTTAAACTTTAAATGATATAAGTAAACCTAGTCTAAAGGCAATGTTATGCTACATGAACTTTATACAGCTAGTTTATTTTTATAACATACTACATGACCTTACCACCTACCAAGAAAAAATCATGGTAGCTGGGTGCTGGTGGCTCACACCTGTAATCCTAGCTACTTAGGAGGCTGAGATCTGAGGATCATGGTTCAAAGCCAGCCAGGGCATAAAAGTCCGTGAGACTTTGATCTCCAATAAACCACTAGAAAACCGGAAGTGGTGCTATGGCTCAAGATGCAGAGTGCTCGCCTTGAGCTGAAGAACGCAGGGACAGTACCCAGATCCAGAGTTCAAGTCCCATGACAGAAAAAAAAAAAAAAAAAGAAAAATCATGGTTAAAATTAGAATGCCATCTAGTGAGTTTATGGACTTTTGCTCCTGAAAAATCTTGAAATTTTTTAAATTAAGATGTCTGATTTAGAAAGATTAAATTGACATTCATTTTAATTTGTCACTGACAAGCATATGAAAATGAACTGAAAGGGTAATTCCATTATGACTGGATATTAATAATTTAAAAGTGCATGTCACTCTCTAGTTAAGCATGCAAGGAACTTGGGAATTATACACATCAACATATAACATAAACAACCTATAATAACGTATTTGTTGTTAAGACAACAAATTAAAAACTAAGTAAACTAAAAATCAACAACCCTGAAAACGCTACACTAAGCAAAGTCAGTCAGTCAAGAAGGCCACACCATATATGATTCTATGTATATGAAAGATCCACAACAAGCAAGTTGGTATTGGTTGTATATGGCTAGAATCTAGCAGGAAGATAGGGACGAAAACTGACTGCTAATAGGTATAAGGTCTTAGAAGTAATGAAAACGTTCTAAAATGAGATAGTGATAACTGTGACAGTCATAGATGATAAATCCAACTCTACAAATAAAACTATAATTACTGAGCTGAACGAACTCTAGCCGGGCACCAGTGGCTCACTGTAATCCTAGCTACTCAGGAGGCTGAGATCTGAGGATCACGGTTCAAAACCAGCCCAGGCAGGAAAGTCCGAGAAACTCCTACCTCCAATAAACCACCAGAAAACCGGAAGTGGTGCTGTAGCTCAAGTGGTAGAGCACTAGCCTTGAGGGGAAGAGCTGAGGGACAGCGAGCTCAGGCCCAGAGTTTAAGCAAAAAAAAAAAAAAAACACCCAAAAAACAAAACAAACAAAAAAAAACCCAACTCTACAACTTGTGGGGGGGGAGAAGGAGAGAGAAGTTGGGGAGGTGGAGAGGGAAGGGATGACTGGAGAAAAACAAAGGAGGGATAACAGTGCTCAAGAGGAAGTGTACTCATTACCTTACTCATGTAACTGTAACCCCTCTGTACAGTATCTTTACAATAAAATTTAAAAAAAAAATTTTTTTAAAGCCAGAAGTTGAGCTAGGCTCAAACCATAAAGGAATAGTCTTAAGCAAAAAAACTGAAGGACAGCACTTAAGCCCTGAGTTCAAGCTCCAGGACCAGCTAAAATATGAAAACAACAACAACAAAAATAAAGAGTAGACTAAGTTTGAATAAATAAAACTGTTCCTACAAAACGAACAAGAAAACTATAAAATAGCGAATTACTCAAAATGTCTAGAAGTAAACAACATTAAAGGCCAAGATAGAAGTTCAATGAAAAGGAACATCTAAACTTTTTGTTAAATTTTTACTTAATCCTCTCGCTTTCTGTGCATCTCATCTATTTCTTTCTACGCTTCTTAGATGTATTGTCTTGAGCATGTTACTTAACCTTTGGCATTAGTTTGTGTAGTATCAAACCAATTCCCAAAATGAAAAGTTTACAGATGTTACTTGAAAATAAAAAGAAATGACATTTTTAATACTGAGTATTGATTATCAATCAATTGAAATAAATTTACCTATATTCCACTGGCATAATCTCAGCAGCAAGATTCTCATAACTTTTTGTAGCAGATGAATCTAAACAACAAATAATAGATTAGTGTTTCAGTAATTCAATCATTGTTTTTAAATCTTTTTAAAAAATCAAATTGAATTCACCAGTTTGGTTCAGGTGGTCTTGCTGTGCTTGTGAACATCGAAGCTCCTCGTTTGTCTCTTTCAGAGTATCGCGCTGCTCTATCAGCCTCTGAAAAATAATAGTTGACTTCAGCCACTGTTAACACTTCGGGCTTACAATTGAATTTAATAATTATTTAATTTAAAATGTTTTAGTTTTAAGATGCATGTGTGTGTGTGTGTGTGTGTGTGTGTGTGTGTGTGTGTGTTTGTGTGTGTATCTCACAGTGAAACATGGCTTTGATTTCTTCATCATCATATTTATCTCTGAACCAAATATATGCAATTGAGTAACTTTCATTATAGATAACAACTTAGAGCATCAACTTTGAGGACACATCAATCAGAGTTGGAATTCCAGTTTCACTGTTTCTTAGCTGTATTATCCTGAGCAACTTGTATAACTTTTTTGCATTAGGTTATATATCTTCAAAATTGAACACTAATACAAAAAATCATGGAAAAGATGTTCTAATTAATGAATTGAGGTGAAGTTAAATATCTAGAATAATGGCTGGCATGCAAGACATGCAGTAGACGAGTTATTTGTTTTACCATTACTGTTAAGTTCTGCTCGAAGAAATGGTTTCTATCATCCTGAAAGTTAATTTCAGAAAAACACCATTTCCCAAGGATAGCATAACAGTATTTCCTTTACTATTTTAGAGCCTACACTTATGACAAAATCTGTTTTGTAAACAAAAGGCTTGTACTTAATGTTATATTCCAAGACTACAAAGTACTTCTAAATATAAAATCATATTTTAAACATTGTTATGTTTCAAGTCAGTAAACAAAACCTTGTAAGTTCATTAAGTCAATGTAAAAGTAAAGGTAACTTATTCAAGAGTTCCTTAGGCTGCAGTTGACAAATGCCCTAGCCATCTCTGAACACTATAATAACTATAGGCAGACATGAATATCTACAAAAATTCCTCTCCCATAAATACAATAAAAACCATAGAAAATTTGTCTATTAATTTAGAGAACTCTATAAATAAACTTAAAGTCTATTATAATCTTGGTAAGGTTTCGTTAGAAACCTGCTTTCCGTGTCCATCAACAAATGGATTAAAAAATGAAAAATATATATACAACCACAGACACAAAATACTGAACCAATAAAATGGATGGCACTAGAGAGTATTAGGTTAAGTAAGTCAGCAAGATAAGTACCACATGTTCTCTTCTTTGTATACACTGAAAGTTAAATCATAGAATAACATTCAATAGGAAAGGATGTGGATTGGAAAAACAGTAATAATTTGATTAGTGTACATTTTATGCCTGTGTTGAAATATTACACTGAACCCTATGTATCATTTAGACATGCCAATTAAAAATAAAACATGTTTAGAAATGAAATGAGGAGGTAACAGCAATTTTCTAAGACTTCATTTTATATCAACTATTTGATTCCAATTCTTATATCAATTTCAGGAAAGTAAGAATTGGTAGATATCAATACCATTCTAAAAGAATGAAAAGTCCCTCATCAAATAAATTTTTGATTACCTCTTTTTCCTTCAGCAAAGCTTCATGTTTTTCTTCAAGCCGCTTCATTTCAAATGCTAGTGTGTCTGCCCTTTTGGATTCAGAGGAAAGTTTAGTGTGAAGGTCCTGAACCTTTTGTTGGAAAAAAAAAAAAAAGAAGCAAAAATCAAGAGTGTGTAATAATCACATACTTTAAGTGAATGAAATACTGGAAATAAAATGTCTCTACTAAAATTACAGTCTAATTCAAAATATTTAGAAAACAGCATTAGCGTTGAGGAATATCTAGCCCTCAGGCCATACAAAGGCCTCAAAATAGTTTGGTACAAGAAAGGACAGACATACATGTTTCTCATTGGATAAAAAGGCCTATCTACCTGTACAGATAATTTTGTATGACCTACAAATAACATTAGAAATAACCAAATGGCCTTTGGAAGAAAAAATTCTTGATCTTTAAACTATTATAAGAATATGAAATGCAAAATATTCAACTAATAATTATACCAATAACTTTAAAAACCATCCTTTCTATTCTAATGGTTTCATTAGGCTCACTAGAAAATAGTAAAACAAAATATATTCGATATAGTTCCAGTCTATACCATCTAGTTCCCTCTGATTTCCAGAAATACTAATGAACCAAATCTCAACAAAACAAGAAAGTAATAAAGGTAAAAAGCTCAGATAAATCAAAATTCTATTTGGCCCTTAAAGAAAGAAGAAATTTATCAGAACAAGTTCATAACTTATTATATATGCTTCCTAGTTATAGATCAAAAATATTATTATCCTTAAGTAGTCGTAGAAAGGAGTGGCCATTCACCAAAGCAGTTTTATAGTACATTTTGATCAATGTCATCCCTTCCAACATTCTCACCCATCTTTCCAAACCCACTCCTTCTCCCTGACTTAATTTTAAGTTATGTATTGAATTTTTTGCCTTTTATGAGTACAAAATATCTTGATCTGTGTCATCACTTCAATATCTTTACCCCTCCCTTCAACTCACCCCTTCCCTTGTATTTCTCAATTCTGTGGCATATACAACAATGAATTCTTGCCTGCATACTCTCCCCTTCCCCATTTCATTCTATCCTTCTCCCCTTAGCACCAATCTCCACTCTTGCAAGTATCCATTTCCTGGGACTTATTTTGTTGGGCTTTGATACAGTCTATTTTAAGAATGAGCCTATGTGTGCTCTCTCTCTATAGAGTCTATTACACTTCAGCTTAATTTTACCACCCAGTGTGTTTACTTAGAGATTTATAGGCACATTCTAGCTACCACAACTGAGGGAAACCATGCAACTTCTGTTTCTCTGGGTCTGGCTTACTTAGTAAAATTTTTTCTAAGTCTTCCTATTTGCTTACAAATGCTACACTATCATTCTTTAGAGATTAAATGAAGTACCAAATTGAACTTTAAATTTATCATCATATTTTCTTATGATTATGATTATTTTCTTACCTGCCTTTTGTATGTTTCTAGTTGTGTTCGTGCTGCATTTGCCTTCTTTAATTCTTCTTCTAAGCTGACAGTATTATGCATATACATCATGTTTGTCTCCTGTAGTGTTTTCACCTGCTTACGAAGGTCATTTAGATCTTGCAGCTTCTGACGATATATCTCCACTGTTGATTCCAGTTTATTTGCTTTATCAGAGGTAGCCCTATAATAATGATCAAGCATTACTTCGTAAAAAAACAAGTATATACACAACAATTTTATCTTAGCTATAAAATGAATCTTCCAAAGACTTGGACCTAAAACCATTTGAATTTTAATATTTTTGTAATAAACGCATAAAAATAAAAATGCTTCAAATCTGATACATTATCAAACTGTTTTTAGCACAATGAATGCATGAAAGGATGGTTTTGTTGGTGTAACTGAAAAATTCTGAACCATTCCCTAGTTTATAGGCATATTCTGGGGTTCTTTTTTGCATATATCGTTTAACATAATTATACTTAAAATGTTTGATATTTGGAATGTTGGCTCAATTCATAATTTGTTTAGCAAAGCATTTCTCTTTAGAATTTCACTTCCCTGACCAGTTGTACTAGAGCAAAGATAAGTGAAAATTAACAGAAAATATAGTGTGGCTGGTTTGTTTCTTGAGTAATATTTTATAAACAAAAGCTAAATACAAATTCTATATTACCAAAGACAATCCTTCCTGAAACATTAAAATTCTCAGTTATATCTGTCTCTATTTTATCTATGTCAAATATGTCCATTGTGAGAATTCATTTCCTCACCAAAATTTCTTTTTACAAACATAAACAATATACAAGGCAGCCAAGCTAAATGTTTATATAATTTTAAGGGAAAGATATCACTTGGGTTTATGGGTTCCAATGTGAAACTCTTCTAACAAGAATCAAGAATCTTTAAACTGCAATTCCAGTTAATAAGCATAAAAGAAGTAACAAGTAGGAGCACGGATAAAAACTGTTCAATGTCTGATGAATGGGAATAAAAGAATCTCTGATTAAAGCAAGAGAATACACAGACTGGTAATAAGTTAGAAGTAACATAATCACATTTAGACAAGCCATACCTAAGGACATCTATTTCATCTTTCAGGGCTCTTGTTTCTTCAGCAAGGCTCGTCAGCTCATCATTTCTATGCTGAAATTCAATCAGCTGTTTTTCAAGTTCTTCACAGTGAACTCTGTAATCATCTTTTGCAGCTTCAAGCCTGAAACAGAAAAAGCAAGTGAGGATTTATAGTATAATTTCAATCATTCTTTCCTTTTTAGCATCTCATTCAAAAGAGAAAAAAAAACCTAAAATAATTAAGATATCTTCAGGATCTTCATTTTGAAATGACAAAGTAAAAATAGTGATTTATAGTCTATTGAGTAAGAATCTATTACTGAATATGATGTATAATCTTGAGTTAGATTTTGAAGCAGACTGAAAAAGGCATTGAGACAACGGATGGATTTGAATAGGATCTGTGGTTTAGATAATACGTTGTCAGTAACCAGTTTCCTGATTCTATGACCAGAGTCTGATTTATGAGAGATTGCACTAGTCTTTAGGAAATAGACAATGAAGTATAAAGGACAAAGTCAATAAGCATGTCTCCTGTCATTCAGAGAAATGATTCAGGAAAAAAATCTGCAAATCTGTAAAATAACTGCAAAGGTATAAAAGGCATAAAACAGTTCTATACACACACATACATACATACACACACACACACACACACACACGTATTTAGTGAAAGTAATAGGAAAGTTTATTAGACAGTTTACATTCAATAGTTAAAAGGCCCATCTCTAATAAGAAATTGACCTTACAATCCATTCTGCAAATATGAAATGGTTATCAAAATATGTATGGTACAATGGTACATGGTTAAGCATGTAAGAGACCACTAATGTACATTGAAGGTAAGAACGATGACTTTGAAAAGATGAAATAAGAACATTAAAATGAAAACCATCTCTTTTTTTGCAGTACTGAAGAATCAAATTCAGTGTCTTATGCTTGCTAGACAAGTGCACTTGAGCCGTGCCCTCAGCCCTGTTTTGCTTTAGGTATTTTTCAGGTAAGGTCTCAGATTTTTGCCCAGGGCTGGTCTCAGACTCTTCCAACCTATCACTTCCTGCATAGCTGGGATTCCAGGTGCATTTCACCACCACTCACAGCTTTTTTGTTGAGATAGGGAAAGGATAGCTTACAAACGTTTTCCTCAGGCTGGCCTCAAGTTTCATTCCTTCTAATTTCTACTTCCTGAGTAGTTGGAATTACAAGTGTGAGCTACTATATCTGGCCTCCTGCAATCTTTTTACTGGATTGCCTATGTACCTTGGTCCTTTGAATTGTGAAATTGTTTAATTTTATATACACATCCTTCTGTGCAACTGAACTGTGTGAAGCAGGAACAAGTTATGTACCATGCAGTTATTAAACAAGTATAACTCTTAACAGTTGTAATTTTATAAAATAATTTCTATTACAATGCTACCTGTAGTTTTCTTCCTGTAATTGTTCTAGTTGTAGCTGTGCATGAAAGTACTTTTTTGCAACCATTGTATTTGGATCATCAAATGAGCCATCCAACTGGTCAAGTTTTTCATTCATCATCTCATTTTCAGAAACCAGTGAATTCTTCTCATCTTGAAGTGCAGTCACCTAAAAAAATATATTAATATAAGCAGCATTAATTAAACCCTCTTAAGAGTTAGGAGTTCAGAGGCGGGCGCTGGTGGCTCACACCTATAATCCGAGTTACTCAGGTGGCAGAGATCTGATGATAGCAGTTTAAAGCCAGCCTGGGCAGAAAATTCCATGAGAATGTTATCTCCAATTAACCACTAGAAAACTGGAAGTGGCTCTGTGGCTGAGGTGGTAGAGCACTAGCCTTGAGCTGAAGAGCTGAGGAACAGTGCCTAGGCCTAGAGTTCAACCCCATGACTGACCAAAAAAAAAAAAAAAAAAGAATTAGGAGTTCAGAATTCTAATTCTGTGTGGGCCATGAAAACAGTAATTTCAAAGGATCTTCCAACTCTGGTATTCTGAGTTTGGAAGGCTCCAATCAACTACAAAAGAAACCAAATCAGTACCTATATGAAGAGAACAGAGCAAGACTATCTTAGGATGCTAGGGCTCCTACTTGGTTTGGGGAAGAAAATAGTTCTAAGTCTCTAAAATTGAGTTTATATGTAGAATTAAAAAATAATTTTCCTACATCTAGGTATAATTTTCACAGTACTGTTCACCTACTCAGCCAAAATTATTGTTTTAGTTCATAGTAGGAAATTATCCATTACATTAAATTTTGTACCTATTATATTACATTTTCAGGGAATAATTAATTAGTCCATGACAAAAATTAATGAGTCCATGACAAAAAGGTAAATTCTTTTCAATTAGTTTCAGCAACAGTTTGATTATGGGATAATATGGATAATACACATGTAAGTGCAGAACTACATCTTCACTTCATTGCATTTTTAAAGTCACACTTTCAACTTTTTTAAATATAATTTTACTGTTATTAAGTTGTTGTACAGAGGGGCTAACATTTCATAAATCAGATAATGAATATATTTATTTTTTTGGACAATAGAACCCCTTCCTTCATTTTCCCCCAGTTAGTAAGTCATTTTAAAATAAGCATGTTTTTAACCAAGATACAGAATCTTGCCCCTCAGTGGACAAATGGATTAAAAAAAATGTGCTATATATACACAATGGAATTCTATGCTTCCATCAGGAAGAATCATATTGTCCCATTTGTAAGGAAATGGAAAGACTTATACAATAAAAGTAAGCCAGAACCAAAGAAGCATAGGTTGCCTTGTTTCCTTCCTTTGTTGTAACCAGAATGTACCTACAAATCTACAAATAAACATACCAGATGGTAAAAGACAAAAAATGACATTTGGACATGACAAATCATACAGAATAAACATTCACACAATGAAACCAAAGGAGGATATTCTTAGGAGAGGATCACAAAGGCTCAATAGCTATGTGCGTGTGATCATATAAAATGATGTTTATCAAAACGAACTCCAAGAAATGGAAACAAGATTTTTTTGCTATGTTGGGGAGGCTGGGGGGTTGTTTTGTCCTTTCTCACTGCTTTTGATTTCTGTACCTTTCCTCATGTTATGCAAGTTTATCTGTTTTGTGGAAGGTAAGAGGGAACACAGAAATGGTGGGACAAAGAGTAAACAAAGGCAGCAATGATACTCACTAGATACTATGTTGAAAATGAACAGTAAAAATTGTGGGAAAGGGAGATTGGAAGAGAAAAACAGAGAAAATGAGAGAAGAGGTAACACTGTTCAGAAAGAAATGTCCTCATTTTCTGACTTACCTAACTGTAACCCCCCTGTATACTACCTTTATTACAAGAAATATATAATAAATTTTTACTCTTCCAACTGTTTCTTTTTCATTTAAGACATCTTTAAAACTTCACAACTATAGGTATGATTTTTCCAAAGACAAGATTATATGATTTTACTAAGAGCCTAGTTTTTAGAATGGTAATCTATAATGACATTCATTATATTGTTTGGTAAGTTTGCTACTCTGTTAATTTCAGTAGCTGTAATTAAGTTCACAGAGTTATGTAAATGAAAATACATGCTGGCACAATTAAACAAAACTTAAATCTAGTCATTACATTAAAAACACTTAAGGCCCCCTTACAAACAATACTGTCTGTTTAAGGAAATTAAAATGGAGACCTTCATGTAAGATCCCTGGGCAGAAAAAAACAGGCTTTAAAAACTTTGAATGACTTGCAAATATATAAAAGTTAACTTAAGATGTTACTTGCAAATGCTAGGATTAAGAAAAACTTAAGCTCAATCTCAAGTAGTCAACAAACTTAGAAATCAAAGGATATAATTTCTTAGAAAAGTTAACTCACTGCCCAACAAAACAAACACCAGAAAACAAATAGTCAAAAGAGGATGTTGGGGTTAAGAGGAGGGTGGTAAAAGAATGAAGAGAGGAAGAGGGGGAAATGCAGTCATAAAATCCAGTGTATATCCTACAAAATTAAGAAAATTGAGGGAAGGCATGAGATAAATGGGGGAGAATGATTAAAGAAGTGACACTGACCAATTCGTGTTCATGAAATGCTTTGTTGAATAGCAACCCCTGTGTACAACTAAAGATTTTTTTTTAAAAAGGACAAAACAAAAAATGAATATTAACAACCAAAATTATATAATATTTGACTACAACTGTGGTCAGTCCTTTCCTTATAACCAATCACATACTTTCTTTGCTTTACTTCTATCAATGTCTCTCACTTATGTTCCCCCAATGGAGTCCTGAGGTATTTCTGGTTTGTATCTCGTTTATTTCTGATTCATTCATGAGTCAAATTAATTCTAAAAACTATATGGTGCCTCAACTTACTTACTTAACACATCCAAATGAGAAAAACAAAACAAAATGAAACAGTCATAGATGTAAGCATGATGCCCACATTTGGTCCTCGGCTCCACCCAGACCTGATCCATCCTTGGAGTTCTCACCATACAGCAGCTGGCCACTCCCTGTCTCTGCCCAGACCCACCTGAGCACCCACCTGCCTCTCTTCCTGCCCCCAGACCCTCCTGCTACCTGAATAGGGTAGTCCTCTAAGGTAAGGTAAGGTGAGGGTGGCTTTCTCAAAAGTTTCCTCTAGCTCATTAATAACAACTTTTGTCTTGATGTCCCTGATTTTATAAACAGACATTTCTTTTTGCTACAAGTACACACTGCTCTTCTTTTACTAAGCCCATCAAATATGTTTACCACGTCATCTGTAGGCTCTTTTCCTGCACGGTCACATTATCATTGTTACTGCTATTGTGTCACCTTTACTCTGAATCATTTGGGCTCTGCTACCACCAGTCAGTAAGTAAATAGTGGAGTTTCACTATTAATATTAAGAAAAACTTCTTGAGGCTGGAGGTGTAACTCAGAAGCACAGAAGGCCCTTTAAACATTTGTCAGCCCCTGGGGTCCCTACAACCAATCCCTAGCACACACACACACAAAAAAGAAAACAGAAACAAAAACCCACAAAGCTTCTCTACCCACTTCCTATCTCACTGACAACTCATAAGGTAAATATTTTGCATAGGAAGGAGGTGAGATCATCTGTTCTCACTTGACATATAGAATCCTTCAGTCACTTGTGTGTTTATCATCACTGAATACAGCCACAAGCCAGAGGTTATGCCAAGTATACATAACATGTCTATTCACTATGTGCCATGCATTGGCAACAGCATGTATATCATCCTTTATACTAAACTCCTTTTGAAAATATTCCAGCCTCTATTCAATCAATACTGCTAACATGTTAAAAAAGATGTCTTTATATTTACTATTGATCTCAGGATGTCCTGGTCTTGGTGGAATTATAAATTCACATTTGGGAAAATATACATGGCACATGCATTATTCCACGAGAACTCTAGCTGGATGATAACAGTTGTGAAGGAATAACAAGCTTTAGTCATTCATGCCAGCAATGAATAAAGTCACAGGTACAAAATGCTTGTGAACCAGTCAGAAAGGATGTCTCTGCTCATCCATATCTTTTTGTTTGCCACATTAGTCATTGACATAAGGATGCAGGGATTGTTAAACATGTAAACTCCCTGGACCGAGGCCAGACACAAGAAATAGAATGTGAAGGGCATTCTACACATTTAATTCAACCAGTTGTGATGGTGATGCATTCTTTAGCTTAATCTATATTTATTTCTGTTCCTCTCAATTTGGAATTTCTGAAGTTTTCATTGTAAACCACAAGATCACATACTCTTCATTTTGTTTTACAAAAACTTCTTTATTTTTATTTATTTACTTTTTAATTGTTATCATAAAGGTGATGTACAGGGGAATGACAGTTTCATATGTCAGGTAAAGAGTACATTCTTTCTGGACAATGTTACCCTTTCCCTCACTCTCTCCCAGTTTTCCCTCCCATCCCTACCCACAAGTTGTATAGTTCATTTTCAACGCAGTGTCTAGTGAGTACCACTGCTGCACTTGTTTACCCTTTGTCTCCCATTTATTGTTCAACTACTTTTTTTAATGTAGAATTGTGATCTTTACAGAATAAAATTTTCTTCAAAAACTATACTGCAATCTAAGAGACAGACCTCAATGGCTCAGTCCTTCATTCTTCAGCTCATGTATTCTACAGGTAATCCTATTTCAAAATAGTTTGTGCTTTGTGTATGTGTTACAATGTGTGATAAGTACAAATGCAAGAGAGAACAGACAAAATTCCCCTATACTTGAGATGCTTGCTTAATTACAGAGGACCGCTTTGTTTTTAAAGACTAAGTTAGGAAATATGGATTCCACTTTACGCCAAACTAGTCAGTCGCCCTAAGTCACTTCACTATTCCTTAACAGAAAAACTTGAAGTGCTAGAAATATTACCCAGCCATATCATTTTAAATATATACTTCATCTAGCAAGGATAATGCTATCACAATCTTTGTTCCTTCCTCTTATAATTTTTGGAATCATTTATTTAGTACATTATCAAGCAAATTAACTGTGTCATACAGCATATTAAGATAACAACCTTCCTACATTTTTTCTAAATTTACTTCATGACATTTATAGTTGCATTTTCACAGAATGACAATATATGCAAATACATAGCCCTTCTGAGTCAGACCCTACACATAAATACATATAAACATGAGTGTATATATGTATGTGCATGTGTGTGTGTATTCTTTAAAAGTGCCCTAGGATATAAAATTTATCATAGCTTCATTATTAAAAAGAAAAACATGGTTGCTTGACTATGGCTCACATAAGTAACCCTACTTAGGAGGCTGAGACTGAGAAGATAGCAGGGCAGGCAAAAGTTTAGTAGATTCTCAAGCAATAGCTATGAATTGTGGCATGCACCTGTCATCCCAGCTAGTAATAGTCTTAGATAAGGAGAGTGGCAGTTCCAGGATAGCCTTGGCAGAAAGACTGAGACAGTACCTCAACAAAAGGAGCAGGGCATGGTGGCACATGGCTATTATCCCAACTATAGTTGGAACCATAATATAGGAAAACTGTGTTCTAGGCCTGGACTCAGGCAGGAAATGAGACTCTATTTCAAAAACAATGAGTGCAGAAAAATAGCTAGAGAAATGTTTCAGCAGTAGACCACCTACTTAGCATGTGTAAGATACTTCCCTTATATACAGAAAGACATGAATTATAAAGAAATGAAGTAATTATTCTAAATACACACTAGCAGTTAGCAGTGTGACTGAATTCTGATGTATGGTGCTGGCTTACTAGTCTACCTACTTAACCACATAGTGGCTATGAATTACATATGGCCACATTCATACACATGTAATATGAGCAAAACATGAAAGGCTATACATACATGCATGTATGTAGATGAGACAGAAAGAGTATATACTTTCACTTATTCAGGGGGATTTGAGTATTACTAAGCACTTGCATAGGTTACTGTACTTAGTATTCATCAATAACTGTAAGGTAAATTCTTTAATTCTCCCATTTTATTTTACAAAATATTGAGCCCTCATCTAAATATCTGATATCATCTAATCTCTAATTAGTAGAATGATTTTTCTGAAAGGAATAGTTAGGCATTTTTCAATTCTCAAGAGAAAAATATTTATGAAATTCATCTTTGAATACTGAAGCTTATAAGTAATCTTTTTCTCTTTTTATTTTTTTGTTTTTATCTGTCATGGGGCTTGAACTCTGGGCCTGGGCCTTGTCCCTCAGCTCTTCAGCTCAAGGTGAGTGCTCTATCACTTGAACCACAGTGCCACTTCCGGTTTTCTGGTGGTCAATTGGAGATAAGAGTCTCATGGACTTTCCTGGGCTGGCTTTGAACTGTGATCCTCAGATCTCAGCCTCCTGAGTAGCTAATAGTATAGGCGTGAGCCACCACCGGTGCCCAGCAAATCTTTTTAATCTCTTCTTCATGTACTGAAACACAATCTCCAAACATGTAGCTACCTCATTAGTTAAAGAGGAATTCTTTGTCCATACCTGCATATCTAGTTCTTGGCATCTTTGCTTCAGCTCTTCTTTTTCCGCTAGTGCTTCCTGAAGTTCTTCTAAAGCTCTTTTAAGCTGAAATACAAATCGTAAGTCTGCTAATCAAGCTGAATTAACTCTCATAATAAACAGTGACACCAGAAATGGTTTTAAAATTTACCTGTAAATAAATGAGTCTTGTGTTATCTATGTGTGAATAGCAATTAGTCTCATTAATATTTAAGGCTAAAGAGCCAAACAAATGCTACCACCTGTGAAATATTTTTTAAATTATTAAGGTACTTTTCAACATCATCAAAAATTTTGATGATACAAAATTTAAATACTTCTTGAAATGATTGGTAACATTCACACATAGTCCAAAAATAAAATGAAATGCCTGAAGATGAATTTGTTTCCTCTTCTTTTCTGCTATAACCCAGATTCAGTAAACACAGGGAATGATTTTCCCCATGTACAAGTCTTCAAGCTGCTTCTTCAGTATCAGGCAAAAGAATACAAAAACTGTGGCAAAAGTCATATTACCTCATCATGAAAACTGTGATGAAAAAGCAGAATTACTTTCGATTGCCTATAATTTAACTATATAACCGTCTATCCTGGGTTACTATGTATCCAAAGAATCAGAAAAATGTTCAGTGTCGGTCAATTCTTGGAACATGATCAAAAAATCACCATTACTTACATTCATAAAGGAATTCAGAATAATGTTCAGGTGGAACTTTATAGCAAAACAGTTTCACAGAAGAGGTATTTTTGTATGTGTTTTCCTGTGTAAGCCTTATGAAAGTAACCAACAAGAGTGTCAACGTGTTCAACCATCTCCTCACTCACCTGTTGCTCTAATTCTCCAACACCGTCACTCACAGTAGAGCTCACTATTTCTTTACTCATCAACTAGGAAATTAAAATAGCAACATTAGTATGATTTTGTAATATTATGATTAGGAAGTAAAATATATTTACTTTAAAGGTATTATTTATAATTATAAAATATAAATTATCATTATATATACATATACATACACACACACTGGACTCAGCAGCAACTATTCTGTTTTATTGATAAGCTGAAGTTATTAAAAAGAAATTGGTGATACTAACATAAATTAGCTTGTAGAATTAGAAGTATTAAAATTGTGCTTAAAAGGGTATTTTAAGATATTCTGGTGGGGTGGTAGGTAGAGAAAAAGGAATAGTCACTAGTAGGTCCAATGCAAAGGACACACTGTAATTTTTTTAAAAGCTAAAATTTACGTGAAAAATTTTCTGTAATTTGGTTCAGGATTTTTAACATATGGGTATAACTTACCTCTTGAATAGCAGTCATGACCACATGTTGAACAGACTCCTCCAATGTCATTATATTTTTAATATGTTCTATGATTAAAAGAAAATTACATCTGAAAAAACTCTACTCTTTTACATGCCTTAACTATTCACTCGAAATAATGTAAAAATTTGAAGCCTTTTAAGAAAAATGTATTATTTTCCATTAATATGATCACTGCAAACAAGCAGAACAGAAGGTACTTATTTTAACATTTTAGATGTTAAACAAGAATCATCTAATTAGTATAAAGAAGATAGTAAGGAAGAAATTATCATATTAAAGTAATCTAACAATAATTATCTAACTTCAGGCACAGAAAGTTTCACTTTACACAGCTTCCTGTGAATACCAGCTCAGTATCCAAAGTCCTACCACAGAGATACTTTTGCCTCCCACACAAACGAAGGCAGTATGTTAAGGTAAGTCATCCCAACAGGAAATAAAAAACTCTAAGAAAAAGGGCATTTCTTATATTTTCATATTTAAATTCACTTCAGCTGCTCTGTTCTCTAGCTGAAGTAATTTGCCTTCAAAAGAAGTTATTATTTTCTAATACTTTACTGCCTTAATGATTCTTCTGGAAAACTCCTAAGTCACTTAAAACCATTTGTGATGTCAAATGAAAGGACGGGTCTGGTATACATTTGACCAGTAAGGGCTAATCTGAAGAAACAGAATTAACTAGAGAACTCATGCTGATGGAATAATTTCCTCTAAGTGGATTTTCTGGATAATGAAACACTTCAAGCCTGCAAAAGCTGTCATAAAAAGCATCTTCCTCTTCAGGTAGGGTATTGTTAATAAGCTAGAACATTAATTTCATTTGTAAAAGCAATTTTCACTGAAAATACAAAAGTACAACAGCTGCTTCACATCCTACATATGCTTTATTAATATTTTAACTAAATCACTCAGAGTGTCATTCTTTTCTTTCCTTAGGTTATTTTGTGGAGCTAAGGATGGAAGCCAGGCCTCACGCATGCTAGCTAAACAAGCACTATGTAACTGGGTTCATATCTAAAATTACAAACCCACACACATACTTACAAAAGTACATCCAATAATACAATTCTTATAATCCTGATTCCTTAAATAGTAAAAATGAAATCTGTTATATCACTGTGTATTTTTTATCTATACATCCAGGAATAGAATTACTTTTTTAATATATGAGGACAAAAGTGGCTTGTTAGATGTAAAACAATAATCACTTTCACAGAAAAGGATAGCTTAAAATGTCAATGGTGGCTTACTTCACAGGCATAGCAGACAAATTTTATAAGAAAACACAGAATGAGATAAAAGAAATTAAATAAAAACAATATAAAGAGTAGGCGCTGGTGACTCATACCTCCTAGCTATTCTGGAGGCTGAGATCTAAGGAGCACAGTTTAAAGCCAGCCAGGCAAAATAGTTCATGAGATGCTTATCTCTAATTAATCACAAAAAGCTCTAAGCAAAACTGAAGGTTAGGTGGTTGAATGCTAGCCTGAAGAAGAAAAGCTCAAGGACAGTGGCCAAGACCTGAGTTTAAGCCCTGAAATAGCAATAAATAAATAATAAACAAATAAAGATAGAATCAATGCCAAATGTCAGTTTATTGAAAATGACTAATATATCTGAAAAACTTGCTAATTAAGCAATATGAAGCAAAACTAAGTTATTAATAACCAGTAATTAGAATAGAAACAAAACATTCAAAGAATGTTTGGCAGAATGGGTATATGGCTTAGTGGTAGAGTGCCTTCCTGGCATGCATGAAGCCCTGAGTTCGATTCCTCAGTATCACATAAACAGAAAAAGCCAGCAGTAGTGCTATGGCTCAAGTGGTAGAGTGCTGGCCTTGAGCAAAAAGCTCAGGGACAGTGCCCAGGACCTGAGTTCAAGCCCCAATATTGGCAAAAAAAGAAAAAAGAAAATTGATAAACTGTGATTCCATGCTACATTTTCTAAGTTTGTTCTTACTGAATTGACGCTTTCTTGTATTCTTTCACTAATTATATAATGCCAAATCTATCAGATCATGGCCTGCAGTAATTTACAAATTTAAAAAACTTAATTCTCTATAAAGAAAGCATACTAAGTTTTGTCTTCACCTAAGATGATAAGAGGCCCATGGGAATATGAACTAGATTACCCCAGTTCATAATTTATTATATGAAACAAAGAATGATGGCTTTGCAATCAGCAAGGTAAGTATTGCTGTATTTAAAAAGAGTGATGAGATGCACCAATTCCACTCACATCACTAGCACACTTATATAAGGAGGACATTGTAGACAGTTATTTGTCTAAAAATAACAGAACATCATCTGAAAGACCTGGGATTAGCAGCTGATTTGATTTACAAAAATCAGAATCAAGGACCTACATTACAAAACTAATCATCCATGGGACAAATAAATACAATTTATTAACTGTCCACTAAGTGCGAAGCACTGGATATAGTATTTCGACTAAGTGCATTTAATTTAGCCACTAATTTTCAGAATGTAGGTAAAACAGATGTATACCTTTTCAATGGCAGAGTAAGGTTAAAATGCTTTTCTGGTTTACATTTCAAGGTACTTTCTCCCAAACTATAATAGTAAACTTTAACACTACCTTGTAATTGTGATCACTAAATACATTAGCTAGCAAGATAGACTGTTTCTAGGAAACCAAAGTCGGCGACTGACTGAAATTCACTTACCTTGCTTCTTTTCACAGTTGACTGCACAACCTAAAATAAGCTGAAGCAACCTCCCAAGCTCCACAGAATCTGAACGTTCAGTTATCTGGTTTAAGTCAGGGATAAGTTCTTCAGATATCTGCTGCCCCAAAAACTGCAGTATCAAAGTCAAGAAGCTAGTCATTTATGTTGGCTATAAAGAATTTATCACATTTAATTATTAAAAAGAAAATTAACTATAATCATCATGAAACAACTCAGATAAATTAACAGATGACAAATCCCTACACTGCTTGAAAGTAACTCAATATTCAGAGTAGCCAATTAACAGCAATTATCTTTACTTTTGATATATCCCTCATTAGAGAGTAGGTGGACTGTTTAAGAAGCACTGAGTTTAGTTTACTACAATGAAACTTGTGCCTTTCCATTGAATATAAGCTTATAACCAAATAATACTTAGAATGGTCTATATTTGATCAATGAACAAATAGTTGCAATATCAGTAATTATACTTCTTCAAATGAACAATAAATCCAATGACTTTTTTCCTGCCCTTATTTTTTCCTTTTGGTTAAGCTTATTAAAAAGTTTCTTGCCACTAAAGGTTCAAGGCATATAATGAACTGAAAAATTACAGAAAATTTCAGAACAGCAAAATTTTTTACAAGAAATTCTAATTTTAATTGTGTGACCTTAAAAAAAAGAAACAAAAATTTCCTACTAGCAAATTCTCTTGAAAAGCTCAACAGTAAACAAGTTGATATTATTTTTAAGAAAATAATCTAGTGCCATTTTTTTATAAATCTTGTATACTATAGTTTTAAGGCTAAACATCTTAGCAAAAGTTGAGTGCTTTAAAATGGCAATGATATACTTCAATTGTGAATTACATTCCAATAAAATGTTGTGTCAGTATAACTATTCAAAGCATTTCATATTTAATGTTAAGATGTATTTTTCATACCTCATGGTAATAACTCATAATTCCTTGAAGAACCTTCTTCAAGTTACTAGCCTAGTATAAAGAAACAGAATTAAAACAATCTTTATTTCATATTAATACTGAAAGATACTTATACCAAGATGAAATAAAAACTTTCCCTAAGAAAAATAACAAAACATTATAGTAGAGTTCTTTAACAAGATAAAGAAAAATAATGTGCAATAAACCTATTATTAGAAATTCTAAATAAAATTAAGTAAAAATTAACAAAATTGAAAGATAAGTGGATAAAAACAATATCATGGTTAGAGATTTAAGGACTCAATTCTCTGTAACTGACAGAATATACACTACAACAATAAAGGTATACAAGATGTACAAGATATACAGAATATACACTACTACAATAAAGAATATACACTACAACAATAAAGGTATACAAGATGTACACAGGTTTATCAACCAGTTGCTGTGATTGTAGGATTGTAGACCACTAAGAGAATTCTAGAAATGAAATCTATCATACACGCTCATTAACTCATCCTTGTCTAAAAGACCAAGCGTGTTTTCATTAATGAAAATGTTCTGTATCTGATCATTCACATGTCAAAATCCATATTGTATACAATATTGTATACAATACATATACATGCTAAATTCACACTGTACACAAAACATACATTTCAAAACTCATACTGTATACAATAGAATCTACTTGCAATTTTTGTAAAAATGGGTTAGTTGAGCAAAATGCTAATTTTAGGACTATTGTTTTATCCCTATTCACTACGTATACCTTTATTCTCCAGTTGTCTCCAACATCTTCTTTAATTCGGCTTAACCAAGATTCATTGAACCAAGCTACATCACTGAAACAAAAACAGGAATGCTAAACATTAAAATGGTTTTATTACATGAAAACTAAATTGAATCAAGAAAGTTACATATAGCACAACGTCTATCCTAAATAAGATCAGAAAAATATTTAAATAAACTCACTAAATTCTTTTGTGATTCTAATGAGCTAGTTTCCCATATCAAGTACTTCATATCATTAACATCTTCAATTTAACAATATATACTGAATAAATATTTACTATTAGATACCCTGTTCGCAGGAAGATCTAAAAGTATCAACCATGAAGAACTGAGAAGAAAATCACTCATTTTGGAGCCAGGCATGGTAATCCACCTGTAATCCCAGCTACTTGGAAGGTGAACACTAATAGGATTATGGATCCAGGCAAAGTTAATGAAACCTCTCATCTCCCCATCTAATCATGTTGGATGTGGTGGTTTATGTCTGTAATCTCAACTATGTGGGAAGACTAAGGAAGATTTCAGTGGAGGCCAACCCCAGGTAGAAAAATTCAAGACCTTGTCTGAAAGCCAACTAAAGGAAAAATGGACTGGGGACAGGCCCTAAAAAACAAAACTAGTATCTTACTGATATCTACTATGTATCAAACCTTTTCCCTCAATGTCTTTCTATATTATTTCATTTGCATATTATAGAAACTTGGCAAAACATACATTTCTATCTTCAATATTCCTATTAAGTAGAAACAAGGTAAGAGGATAAGTAATTTGCCCAAGTGATATTAGTACATGGCAAAGCCCACCAAAAATCTGATATAACTAAGTGGAATTTTGTTTCACTGAGAAATCCACCAAGATAAATCCTTAAAAACAATACTTCTGATGGGTGCTGGTGGCTCATGTCTGTAATCCTAGCTATTCAGGGGCTGAGATCTGAGAATTGTGGTTAGAAGCCAACCCAGGCAGGAAAGTCTGTGAGACTCTTATCTCCAATAAAACTACTCAGAAAAAGCACTGTAGCTCAAGTGGTTGGGTATAGCCTTGAGCAAAAGCAATGCAGTTCCTTGAGTTCAAGCCCCAGCACTGGTAAAATAAATTAAAAACATAAATAACAAAAATACTTCTGAGTTTTAATTAGAAACAAAGCTCTATTATTAATACTGAAGACAAATAACTGATGTACGAAAGTTTTTTGTATTTAATGTTTTGAAGAAAAATATTTGACTATATATAACAAGCTATATTAATAGATTTGGATGCCTGCTCTACGTAAAGACTTGAGGGGGATTAATATGAAAAAGACTTATTATTTTGACTCAGTCAAAAGAATGAAGTGAAGAGCACAAATAAAGAAGCTTGTGAAAAAATATATATTAAGGGGAAAAAAAAGAAGCCTATGACAAATGTTCTAAGTTAGCCAACCTTTAAGGCTATCCCTACAGTCTGATCTAAACTTTTACTTATAGATAAGCCACCTAAAGTATGCATAAAAAATTCTTTTCCAAAGTGGTTTCTTAAACCTAACACTGCAAATAGAAACTACAATACAATGCTCAGCTTTTCTAAAATCATTCTAATATAGAAGATATCACTATGCCTACAGTAAACAAAAATTTTCATTTATCTGTAATTTGCAACTGTGTTTCACTTTTCTCAGATGCTAAAATTACCGAAACAATTTAGCTTAATGTGTAAGTGATATACTACTAACTAGGTACAGATATATCTAAAATAACTGAATTAACTAATGAGTCATATTTGTCAAAGCAAATTTATTTTCTTATTACAGCAAACAATATAAAGCCCCACAGGCATGTTGGTAAATTTTTTGTGTCAACATAGCTAGGCCACAGTACTTGATTTGGTCAACTATGTCTAAATATACTGCTAAGAAGGTATTTTGTAAAAAGCAATGGGAAGGCAGTCTGCTGACAGGATTTGATCCTTCTTGCAGGGATCAGTCTTTCTGTTTAGGCCTTCAACTGGTTGGATAGGAAGGTAAATAAAATTACTCAGACTACTAGTTTAATTGTTATTTACAAAATAACAAAATGCTGATCTCTGGATTTCCACTTGGCTGTCTTATTTGTAAGATTTTACACTTAAAAAAGCCACCACAGCTACATAAGCCAATCACTCCCTTAAGATAGCTATGTGTAGCCAGGTACAGGAGGCTCATACCTATAATCCTAGCTACTCAGGAGGGTGAGATCTGAGAATTGTGGTTAGAAGCCAGCCCCAGGAGGAAAGTCTGTGAGAAGCTTATTTCCAATTAACCACCAGAAAACCAGAAGTAGCACTGTGTGTGGCTCAACCGCTAGCCTTGAGTTGAAGAGCTCAGGGACAGCTCCCAGACCCAGAGTTCAAGCCCCATGACCACCACAAAAAAGGGAAAAAAAAATCTCTGTGCAATCATGTGTATGAAACAAATACATTTAAGCATAAACATCATGTTGTTGGTCCATAGAGCCCTGGACTACTATTACCAGATTCTGAGCTGATTCTTTAAAAAAAAAAAAAAAATCTAAATGAAATTCTATGCTACCTTTGGAAACTGGATCCAGAGAGTAATCTATACTTGTTATCTAGTTTTTCCAATGTAATTCTTTCTTTGGCTTTACATTCTTCCTTGACTTCCTTTACATCCCAAATCAATATTAGTTCTGTGAAATATTTTCCAAGTTCTTTCTTATAAACAAACTTACCCCTTCCCAGTTATTATAGCAGCCAGACTTTTTAAATTGCCACATCTACATGCCTTAACTATGTTTTACTCCCCAAACTAAATTATTTTCTTATATTTCTGAGAAATTCAATGAGGAACACCAGTCAGCAGGAGAAACAACTAATCACAAATGTAGTCCAATTATTTTCTAATAAAACAACAAAAAATCATAATTAAGCTTTACTACATCCATGATATTTATCTTCAACAATTTTACAAATTAAAATTAGGCTATGCCTTCTGGTTACAATAGCAGTTGTGTCAGATTATTCTAGAATAGCTAAAACACCTTTTGTGCTTAACACAACAAATTGTGATCTGTAATTGGACATGAACATATGAACTTTCAAAAGGGGATCAAGACATTAGATTCAATGATTACAGCTTACTGGGAACACTGGCTTTGGACTCACACCAAGCTGCTGTAAGCCCTAGCACTTTGCAATTTATTCATCTTTTGACTTTCCAAAAGCAATTCCCACCTCTTTACTACTTCCTATCCTCATATGCAAATTGAAATATCTATTGCATTGAGTAGTAAAGATTAAATAATTGATCTAATGTGGTATATAGTGATATATTAGTACATATGGAGTTATCAAGGCTCAATATCTATGAATTAATGAACAACTAAACGCGTTATGCTTAAGGTCTTCTGAGTTTTCTGCATTCTCTCACTCTTTTCACTCTTTCAAAAACCATCATAACCACACAAACCCCCAAAGTATGTTTCAGTTCTAATCTGATACCCATAACTCTGACTTTATGTGGAAATAGAGTCTTCCCATATGCAGTCAAGGTGGGATAAAGTCATACTAAATTAGAATGGATTCTATTCCAATAGACTGGGGCCTTTGTAAGTCAAGAGACATAAACAGTTACAGACAGAAGTAAGGTGACCTGGGAGGACAGAAGAGGAGGTTTGAGTTATGCTTCCATACACCAAGAAACACCTAGGTCAGAAGCTTGATTAGGTACAAAAGAATTTTGTCCTTGAAGCTTTGGAATAAGTATGGACCACCCAATACCTCACTGTAGTCTTCTAGTCTCCAGCACCATGAGACAACTCATTTTTATTGTTTGAAGCCAGCTATTTATTCTGTGGTACTTTGTTACAGCAGCCCTAGGAAACTAATGTATTAGGAATAGTTCTTTCCCATGAGCTTTTTACGTAACAAGCGCTTTTACACACATTTTAAAAAGAGAGGTACATATTCCACATTCAAAGATAATTTTAAAACAAAGAAGCCTATTAATAACTCTATAACTCCCCAAGTCTAGAGTCTTAAAACATGGAAAACACTTTTTCAAAATTTTGTCATTCAGAAGCAGACCTGTCTGAGATAAATAATGATGCCTAAATTTTGCTACTTCCTTAAAAAGTAGTTTCCTTTTCATTATTAGTAACAACTTTTATATAATGTGATGTGAGTCACCAATAAAACTTATCATAGTAACATATAAAGTGCTTTGAAATATTCAAAAAATATGTTAAAGTTGGCCTTTTAAACAGGATTATGAAACTCTGATCCAACTATGGGAACTGTACTATTTAAGTCTCAGTAGCCAGAATACAGACTTCTGAAAAGCTCCAAAATTAGAAAGGGATTAAAAAAAATTCAAAGTGGCCCTTGGACAATAAGGGAGGCTGAGGTATATAAGAACATATGAAAATAGACAAATGAAACAGAGAGGAGAGGGTGGGGATTCAGAAAGAGACACTGACTGAGGTAGGTAGAATTTTAGGTTACTGTTCACTTGGTTTAATGAAAAAAGCTTTCAGATTGGTGGATTTTTTTCCCTATGGAAAACTTCCTAGGATACTAAGAAGAAAGGAAAGAAGAACAGAAAGAGGATTATCAACAGATTCCAAAAGGTTGTATAGAAATTGAGTTATTAATGAAAAATACCATTTAGATTTATGAAATATTCTCAATATCAAGCACATAGAAAGTACAGAGGTCAAACAGCCATACATGTTACATCAGGGTAAAATTTGGTCTCTTCTATTGTCTTATAGGATAAAGCCACAATCAGTACCTACAGAAGTGACATCTTTGGTGTTACTGTTGAGACAAGAGAATGTATACCAGTTACTTCATACCAACCATAATAAGAGGAATCTCCCTATCTAACAACAAAAAGCAATGATGATTTTCCCAAATCATCAAGAAAGGACCAGACTGACAATGCTTGGGGCTCTGACCAAGTATGTAAGTTCATTTTTTTGTTTGTTGGTTTGGTTTTTTTGTGCTGGTTCTGGGGTTTGAACTCAGGGTATGAGTGCTGTAACTGAACTTGAGTTCAAGGCTAGTGCTCTACCACTTGAGCCACAGCTCCACTGCCAACATTTTCAGGGGTTAATTGGAGAAAAGAGTCTCCCTGGGCTTTTCTACACTGGCTGGCTTCAATCTTAGGCTCTTGAGTAGCTAGGATTACAGGCATGAAAAACCAACACCCAGCCCAATAATATAATTTTTAAATCAATCAGGATTTAACAAAACTTTAAGAAATACTTTCTTAAAGAAAGCAAGGAAATAAGACATGTTTTAGAACTATTGCTTTTCCTCCCTTCAGCAAATGTTAACATTCTGTATGTCTTCTAAAGAAGTGTTAATTTTGAGTTAACTCTAAGATCCATATACTTAAATTATTTGAAAATGCCAAATAACTAGAATTTCAATATCACTTTTGGCTACTTTTCTAGGTATGGCTCAGGGTTTTTGCTGATATACAGGGTTTTGAATGTCAATTATAGATATCTTTTACATAAGAGTAGTAACAAGTAAATAATATGACTGTAGAACAATGAAGCCAATCAGAATTCTGTTCTCAAAGTAAGCTCAAATACAGTCATCATGGCTAATGAACTTGATGGGTACAGAACTGGCACTGCTTGTACTAATAAAAAAATATTATATTGTAGACTACATCCCTAATCCATGAATTATGCTTCTCACATATTAAAAATACTGGATTTAGGAGCTTTTGATAAAATGGCTGAAGCCCAAACTGAATCATTTCATTAATTAAGGTTGCTGCCCTGTCTCATTCATTCATCATTTCATTATTGGTGGACTCAGAAATTACTATTTGAGAAATAGCCTTTTGTTAATTTGGCAGTTTTTCCAAATCTGGCTTTTGGATTTTTTTGTTTGTCACTTTTGGGGCTTGAACTTAGGGCCTGGATGGTGTCCCTGAACCTCTTTGTGCTCAAGGCTGAGTCTCTACCATTTAAACCATAGCACTACTTCTGGCTTTTTCTGAGTAGTTTATTGGAGATAAAGAGTCTTACCAACATTTCTGCTGAGGCTGGCTTCAAACTGTGACCCTTATATTTCAGCCTCTTGAGTAGCTACAATTACAGATGTGAGCCAAAAGCACCCAGCTTAAACTTAGCATTTTATGCTTGAATAATCTCTAAGATAACAATGTCAGGGCATGGATACCTTACAATGACCACAGTACAACCACTAGAAACTTTACAAGCAATGATATCATTCCCTTAAAACTTATTCTTTATAGTTACTATGACTTGTGAACATGCCAGCAAGAGTTAAGTAAGATCTCTTGAATAAATAAAAGCACTCATAATTTATTTAGTTAAGGTGAATCTCTATGAACAAACAAAGAACAGTGTAGTGGTAAAGGGTTTTATTCCCTACTTGCAAGAATGCCATAGAACCATATGTTTGGTTACTGAATGGGATAAAATTTCAATAGCCTAAAAGAACACAAGTTTAAGTTTTCTCCTATGGTATTGAATTTACCATTATTTTCAGAAGGCTTTGATCGCTACTCACATTTGATGAAGAACTTGTGCCATGGTAACTCCATTAGTCAGCTGTTTGACATTTTGACAAGGTGAGGCAGTCTTGAATGTCTGCAGCTAAAATGACATAAAGCAAATGACCTTATTCCTTCATTATCCCTTCAGAGCAGCACTGCAAAATACATAGAAAAGCAGCTAAAACCTGTCCTTTGTTTAAATGCAGACACTGCAAACAGTATGTTCATGTGGCTTTGCAGTATTTTTAGAGAAATACTTAATATTTCATAAAGTAATGCCTAACACAGTAACTCATATGAATGGCCACATGAAGCAATGCTGCAAAGTACAAAGCCATGTATGTATTTTCCTCTTTTGTCCATTTTTAAGAGCACATCAGAAAAAGAACATTGAGATTACAGTATTTTCATGCTAAAATTTTATTCATATCCCTTTGTAGGAAAATAAAGGTTAGAAACGTATAGTCTAATACCATTCACAGTCTATTCATTATCTCTGAAAGAAAGTAGGACTTCTGCTGACTGTCCAACATTAACTTAAAGTGTGAAGAGTCAGGGGCCATCCATCTCTTTAGTTTGGCTAGATATACTGAACATTTCAAATCTCTATTTGTAAAACACCTACCAAACATTAAAACGAGAAGTGGAGTCAAGAGCCAGTAGCTAATGCCTACAATCCTAGCTACTTGGGAGGCTGAGATCTGAGGATCTAAGTTAGAAGCCAGCTCCAGAAGGAAAGTTTGTCAGACTCATCTCCAATAAACCACCAAAAAGCCACAAGTGAAGCTGTAGCTTGAATGGTGCAGTGCTAGCCTTGAGCCAAAAATACTCAGCACCAAAGCTTTGAGGTCAAGCTCCAGGACTGGCATGAAGACATGAGACAAGAGACGGAATCAGAGACAGACACAGATACATATGTGTGTGTGTGTATATAGATAGATAGATAGATAGAGATATATAGGGGAGACAGAGACAGAGAGAGACAGAAAGAGAGACACAGAGAGATAGAGAACAGACACAGAGAAACAGACACAGAGAGATGGAATAATGGAATCTTTCACATAGAGAGATGGAATAATGGAATCTTTCACATAGAGAGATGGAATAATGGAATCTTTCACATAGAGAGATGGAATAATGGAATCTTTCTCAAAAGAGCAAATTCAAGCCAGAAAAACTTAGAAAGCAAATTACAAAAAAATGGAAAGCAAAATGGATGATACTTTCCAGAAATCTAAATGCAATCCATAGCATCTTAAATTATGAGTCTTTCCACACATATTCATCCCCTTTACTCGTGATTTCTGAGTTTACCACTTAACTGCCATAAACGAATAGAATTTTCTTCTACCATAATTCACTGTAGCAGTTTTGTATATGTCACAAATCTATCTCTATCACTCTACGACTGAAAGATAGTATCATCACACTATTGTTTTCCATGTACATAATTTACTGAGCTCCTTACTCTAGGTGGGACAAAGTGGTATAGGATGAGGTTACAAAGGAAAATCACCAGGGCTTTACCCTTAAAATAACCTCAGTCAAGAGTTAAGGAGAAAAGTATACAAGTATACTTTTTGAAAATGTGATAAGTAACACAATCACTGTATACACAAAGTGTTTTGAAAAAGAAATAGTAGAACCAATTAATCCAATTAGTATTTTTATTTTAGAAAGGCATCATAGAGAAGATTCCCATATGGACAATCTACTGAATGAATACTATATTTTATAAGCTAAAAAAGGATGGGGAAGGAAGCTTCAGGAGACAGAAGTACAATAAAAGTGCAGATACATGAGACAAAATAGCAATTTTAGTATCACTGGATTTGCAATACAAAGAAGCTGTAGAAAGGTTAATAAACAAAGGGAGAAAAAAAGACCCACAGGGGTCAGGATGGCAAGAACCATTACAGAATCTTGACTTATTTTATCCTTAGTGGTAACATCTACAGAATTAAATGAAACACCAAATATCCTTGGATCAGTGTCTGGCATACAGAATTATCTCAATAGCTATTAGCAGACTAGTTATGAGTTAGGGTTTTTTGAAGTGTGGGGGTCTAGAGAAAAAAATGTACAAGTATCTCTTGACATAGTAATTCATAGTCCCCAAGCAGTTTTATGCATGTTAATTTTTGAGAACCACTGCTCTAGTTAATGAAGAATCACCAGTGTTAAAAAGAAGAATGATATATCTTTGGTACATTTTAGACCTATAGCAGTAATTCAGAGTTGCTTTACACTACAGTCAAGACCAATCAAAAGCTCCTAAAGGTGAGTAAAGAAAGAAAAGAATGCTGTAGAAATAATGAGCATAAAAGTGAATGAGAGGGGAGGATGAAATTATGCAACATATAATATACAAAATAAGCAACACAGAGAGTGAGTGAGCAAGAGGGGGGGGAAAGAGAGAGACAGAGAGACAGAGAGAGAGACAGAGAGAGAGAGAAAGAGACAGAGGCAGAGACAGAGACAGAATGAATAGCTCCAGGGCTTAGGGAATGTTTAAAAGGACAGTAAACATTATCTTAATGTGTAACTTAAAAGTTATATCATTAACTTTTTACAAAATATCTGATAAGTGATTTTAAAAGAGCACCTTCAGAGGCACAGACCATAAAGCAAAGCTAGCACCAAGATATATGTGAGTATACACCACAGAGTTATGCTCAGATGAAGATCAATTTCTGTACCCTTTACTAACATATGGGCACCAAAGTGTCTTTTGAAAACTCCTAAAGTAGCTGCAAAGTAAATCAGATAACAAAATGTAATTTCATTTGACTGAACTCTAAGGCTTTATAACCAAGAACAGTGAATACATTAAAGAGCTCAGTGAAGGAAGTGAGACTAAGGCACAGGGATAAAAGAAAATTTCATACTACTCTTTATGAAAAAGCAAATGACTTTCTACTGAGTGGCCTAAAATGGACAGAAAGAGCTTCCATGGGTGTCCATTACCACACCACCTAGGCAAGAAACAACCTCTTCTCTTCTATAATGTAGAAATTCTGAAATGCCTCAATGCAAATGTCATAGAAATTAAGAAAGTAGCTTTCATAAGTGATAGCCAATAAAAACTCAAATCTTAGCCGGGCGCTGATGGCTCATGCCTGTAACCCTAGCTACTCAGGAGGCTGAGATCGAGGAATGCAGTTCAAAGCCAGCCCAGGCAGGAAAGTCCTTGAGACTCTTTTCTCCAATAAACCACTAGAAAACCAGAAGTTGCACTGTGGTTCAAGCATAGAGGGCTGGCCTTGAGCTGAAGAGCGCAGGGCAGCTCCCAAGCCCAGAGTTCAAGCCCCATGACCGACCAAAAAAAAACTCAAATCTTGGACCAACTCTGTCTTTACATTCTCCTTTAACTCTTCCCTTCAGCCCTTCAGAAAGAATTGTTTTGAGGTTTAAGATCTTTATAAATAATTCAGTCACTAATAATTTTCCTAAATCTCTCTCTCATACATACACACACACACACACACACACACACACACACACACACACACACACACACACACACACACTATCCTTTTCTGGACCTGTCTATCAAAGGCAGTGTGTAAGAACCATTATAAACATCTGATCAAGTGCCTTAACTTTACAGATATTAAGTCTCAAAGATAAAAAAAGGATAACCAACCACACAACAAAGTAAAATTAAATGTATCTTCATGCAAATATTTCTTTAAATATGGCCACATCTCTTTAATCTTGAACTTTGTATTAAGCTTCAGTACATATCTAAGAATTGTTTTTTGAGGACTTCTAAATTATAAAATGTATCACTTAAAAAATCATCAAGATTTACCTGACTTGATGACTTCTCTGAGTTCACGTTGGCTCCTTTCTTCTCATGGTGCTAAAATTACAGAACTACTTCCAACTATCTTCTCATTCTTGTGATGTGGCCCTAACATAACTTTAAAAAAATTTGTAACCCACTACATACTCAACAAGTAATATTACATAGTATATACTGTGAGTCCACTACTTTCCTTCAAGCTACAGCCAAAGGAGACTAGTAGTACTGCTAGTGGCTTTTCTCTGTGCTGGGAAAACCCAGTTTACTCATCCTACTTTGTGAAATTCATCATTTCTCTATAATCAGGTTAAAAATTCACCTCCTATCTATAAAAACCTATACCTATATCATGCTTAATGGTGAAATACTGGTCATTAAGGTCAGAGCCAAGAAAATTATATTTTACTATCACCCCTTTGATTCATGGCTATATTGGAAATCCTTGTCAGCATTCTTCTTAGGGATAGAGCAACAACAGGTCAGGCAAGGAACCTGATGCTATGCAGTATGTTAAGGAACTGCGTTAAGTGTTATGGATATGGCTGTTATAGATATATAACATGTTAAATTTCAACAGAAGTGGGTAACAGGTAAGTCATTATTTTAGGAATGGTTGTCACACAGTCTCTGATCTAAAAGGCAACAATCAGACTGGAGACCTGAAATGGTGAAAAACTACCAGCCACGGGAAAAACTAGATAAGTATTTGATGGTAGCAATAACAGCATGTAGCATATGTTGAGTTAAAAGAAAGTGGAGGGGCTGGGAAGGTGGCTCAGTGGTAGAATGCTTGCCTGGCATGCATGAGGCCCTGGGTTCAATTCCTCAGCACCACATAAAAAAAAAAGAAAAAAGCCAGAAGTGGTGCTGTGGCTCAAGTGGTAGAGCGCTAGCCTTGAGCTGAAGAGCTGAGGGACAGCGCCCAAGCCCAGAGTTCAGGACCCACGACCGGACCCCCCCCCAAAAAAAAAAGTGGAGAAGCATGGGAGAACAACAATGCAGAGGCTTAGGAATGGGGGAGAGAAGGAAAGGGAGGATGAGGAAGGGGAGAGAAAAGGGAAGATAGGAAGGGGAGGAGGAAGATAAAGATGGAAAGTTAAATTTCCTGAAAATAATCCTAGAAAGGAAAGCAAAGCCAAAAGATGTATGGAAACAATGACAGAAGACCATTTCAAGAAGGATATACCAAGTAATGTTTGGATTGCTTACTGGATTTGGCTAACTGCTAATGAAAGTCTTAAGAGAAAAGAAAAAAGGAAAAAACCTCAAATGCAATTAGCTGAGAAGGTAAGTAAAAGTATAAGGAAGATAAAGGGTAAGTGCTTAAAGAAACTTTACTGGGAGAGAAAGAGAAAAATCCAAGTGGTTTTAAGGAGTGGATGGAGGGGTAGCTCTTCGTTCTTTTATAAAATGAAGTATGTTAACAAGTTTATATATAGTAAGTGAAGAAAGAAGCCAATTGAGAGAAAGAAGTTGTAAATACAGAAAGGAGGAATATGTTAGAACAAAATTCTATAAGAGTTGGAAGTTATGGAAGCTTAAAAGCCTGAGCCAAAGACAAGGAAACGGTCATTTACTCAAGAGAACAAATGACAGACTAGTAGAATTTTGGTCTCAGTTGGCTAGGAGGAATTACAAGAGCTTATTCATCAAGCTGGGTGGTGGTATGGGAAAAGGTATATTTGGCAATAGTGAGTAAGTAGAGGCAATGGTCTGCTCTGTCATTCCACTTCCTCCATAGAGTACAGCAGCCTGGGAGAAGATTGCAGAAACAAAATAACTTATTTTTCTCTTATATCTATGCTCCTTATTTGGAATTTTTTCCAGACTTCATAGAATTTTGCTTTCCTTTGTGGTTGTAAAACTTCTGTCACTCTGATTAAAACTGATTCACGCAACTGGACATTGCATATATAAAATTGATATATGCAATTGGCAAAGTCAGTAAAAACTTGTTAAAAGAACAGACACTATCACATGAGATTGTTTTAAATAACACAATACATTTCAAGGAAATGCTGTACTCCACCACCTCACAATTAAGTCAATGACATCATAAAGACCAAGTTTGCCATTTCAATCAGATGATGTATATAGAGCACAGAGGAAGAGACTAGGGTACACCCTCTAATTATCCACTTGTTTAACAAAACAGATCATTAAAAGTAATGTTGCCTTTGTTTCCTGACAGAGTTAAATACAGCTTCTAAATCTTAGTACTTATTTTAAATGAAAATATAAATTAACAGCTAATTGCTTTTAACTCAGAAGCCCAAGATAGTTACTTTCCACTTCATTATTGACTTTCAAAGGGTAAAAGTTGATTTAAGTTGCAGTCCTTTCCAATAGACTTTACATACTTCCAGATTTCTCATTCTTTGGAATGATCAGCATCATGAGATTGCTAAAGAATCCTCATCAATGATTAAATCCTCTGAATCCAGTCTGTATACATTCCATTCTGCGAACACTCTCCTACACACAACTGGTTTAGGGGTGAGCACCATGAACCACTTGGGCCATCAAGCTCAGTGCTGGTTAGGAACCACACCTGGACGCCAGATCTCTGATAACATTTAGCTCACTGAAAAAAACAAACACCACCACCACCAAACCTGAAAAATCCTGAGAGACAGCCCTGACTGTTCAAATCCAGTACCGGTAACACACCCCCTTAACCATGTGTAAACTAAGACTCCCAAGTCCTTCACAGAAATATGCTACTCAACGGGAGGTGGGGGGAGGGAGGGAGTGGGCGGCAGAAATAAGGAAAGCGAGTTCTCATCCCTAGACAGTTTTCCACGCAGGAGGATATGTGCAAAGATCTTATTCGAGGCTGCTTCTACTAAATCACATGCCCTAGAGTCAGTCACCTCCTTATGACCTGAGGTCCCACTGGAACAAAGTAGTTGAAGCAGGGTGGAGGGGGGGGGGGTTAGGTTTCAGAAAGGGGGGGGGGGGTCTTTACTTTCAAGTAACACAAAGGTCTCCCCTATGGAAAGAGTATTTCACAGATGGATGATGAGAGATAGCAGTCCGGAAAATTCAAGGCTGGGGGGTTGGGAGGCTGGGGAGGTGGGGGGCTGGGGGTGGGGGGCTAGGGGAGCTCGGGGACTGGGGGAGCTGGGGGGCTGGAGGGCTGGGAAGCTGGGGGCCTGGGGGAGCTGGGGCGCTGGAGGGCTGGGGAGGTGGGGGGCTGGGAAGCTGGGGGGCTGGGGGCCTGGGGGAGCTGGGGCGCTGGAGGGCTGGGGAGCTGGGGGGCTGGGGAGCTGGGGAGGGCTCGGTAGGGGGAGAAAATGAGGGTCAGAGGCAAGCAGCGGGTTGGACGTCTGGGTCCTTCTACAGCTGCTGGGAACCAGACCCAGGTTCCATCTGGCCTGCACCCGATCCTCACCCTCCCCCCCCCCCCCCGCCATCCTCGTACCCCCTCCCCGTCCTCCCTCCCCCCCCTCCGGGTCCTCCCTCCCGTTTCCTCGCCCACACCTCCACGCGCGCGCACCCTCCGCCCCGCACCCCCAGAGGGGGCGTGCTCGCGGCCAAGGGCGGCGGGCGGCGCGGAGGGCAGGGCGCGGCGGCCGCGGCCAGGTGGGCTCGGGCTCCCGTCCCCGACCCTCGCGGACCCTCGCACTCACCCAGATGATGAGGCTGTCGCAGAGCGGCAGCTCGGGGAGCGGCGGGGCCTCCTCCATGGCCCGGGACGCTCTCGACGCGGCCGCTGACACCGACGCTTCCCTCTTCCCCGGCTGCGCCCCGAGCCGGCGTCGACCAGCCGGCCGCCCGCCCTCCCGGAGAGCTCAAGGGCCAGGCCCGGCGCCCGCGCCGCTCACGCGCAAAATCTCACGCTGCCGACGTCGCCCGCGTAACCCCCTCCTCACCCGCCTCCTCTGGTCCCCGCGTCCGCCCCCTCCCCCGTCTGGGGCCCCGCCGCCGCCGCCGCGCAGTGGGCACCTGGGCCACGCCCCCTGCCCCTCCCCGCCCCCCCTCCCGCTCCCGCACACCTCGCTCCCGCCACTCTGAGTGACCTGTGTGAGCACCAGTCACAAAGAAGGTGGGTCGCTGGGAGGGGCGGGAAGAGCGGGGATAGGTCCAGCAGGAAAGGTTGCTGATTGGATGTGCCCTCGTGGGCTCCGACCAATTAAACAGAGACAAGCAGGAGGCTCCCGGAGCAAGTGGGTGGTTTATGACCTGGCAGGTGCAGCCAGGGCGGGTGCTGGAGCTGGAGGGCCCTCGCGGGACAGAGAGTGAGCATGCGCAAGGGGAGGGGGGGGGGGGGAAATTGGCAGATGAAACTTCATTCTGTGTTGGTGGCACAAGGAGCAGAAGGGACAGCGTCACCCCTGCCCCTTGCCCACAGGTTCTGGCATCTTCGGGCCTCCTGCCTCTGGGTTAACACGTCTCCTGACTACACTTGTGGAGAGCTACACCGTTTCCACCTTGCTACGCAGATCGAGTGCACCCACGAATTCTTGTTTTCAAAAATCACCTCGAAGGTGGAGCCGATTTTCTTCTATGTTCTCTTTGGAACGTGGCATTTTAATCTGCACACATGGCCAAGAGATGCATTTCCTATGGGAAACATAGTGCTTGAATGCTGCTTAAATCAAAGAAGCTCTCACAAGATCAAGGACTAGGGGGACTTTCGTTTTTTAAATGGGGCATATGAGAACACCAATTTCAGCCAAATGGAAAAGTGAAGTAATTGTCTTCACTTTTGAAAAAGACGGAAGATATTGGTGTACCCATGTGTCCTTTGTCTGTTGCAAATCTTTGCTGAGAACGTTGGGGTGGGACAATGAGGTAAAATGGAAGCTCTCACTGATAGATACCCTCGGTTACTGAAGTGGGTAGAATATTCTTAGTCTTGCTGTTGAGTCTCATCATTTCATTCATAAACTTGCCAATTCACGTGCCTCATTAAAAAGCAGCTGGCTCATTTAAATTACTGCGGTTTTATAATTAGGCATTGAGAACTTAAAGCTTATGGGTAACTGCATTTGAAAGCCCCCAAATATAAATCAGTCTCATTCTAAAAATACAGTAAATGCGTTTGCTATTGGTTCCCTTCACATTCTAGAACTTTGTGAATATCTTTGGCTTCACTTAATAGTCTGGCCACTGGAAACATTGTTAATGTGACTTAAGTGGAAACGTTAAGAAGAATGCCTAACATCATTATAACTAAAATGTAAGCGTGTTGTAAAAAGTAAATTGCAAATTTAAACGTTGCAATGTGAGTTACAATAATCATACAGTATTAAAAGCATTTGGGAACATTTACCACTGAGAGCCACAGATGGTTGAACTATTAAAATAAAATGCTTAATGAGAGTCACTGGGAAGGGGGCAATTAAGCTATCTTTCGGGACTGCAAATAGGAAACAAATCCTCAATGAAAGATGCCCAGTATCTACATGATATCAAATCCAAAGATAAAAGATGTGAAGGATGACTGAACTTACTGAAACAATTTAAATATTCGAAACATATATTCAAGAAAAACAAATACTACTAATAGAATATAAAAGATGATCTTGAGAAGAGTGAAGGGTACTCTCATACACAGTGGGAAGATCATTTTGGAAAATGTTGAATAATTTTTAAAACTTTTTGTAATTCAAATTCAGAATTTATAACTTCTAGTCATATCCTCTTTAAGTCATAGCAAATGAGAAAGACAATAAAGTTAGTGTAGAAAATGTATCAGTATTGTTTAAATCCAATTAGAGCAGTTAAATACATTAAACAAGGTTCATAAGTAATACAGTAATACTTTGTATAATATTTGGTAATTTAGGGATGTGTCATAAGGTATATTAAATAGAATTTTAGTATAAAAGTATATAAGCCACATGACCTTGATAATACATTTTAATATGCACATAGCAAGAAACAGGAGTATTTATCAAACTACACTGTTTATTTGTGAATGAACAATCATATTCTGTAATGTTTTATATTTTTATCATACTCTAGTTAGATTTTATTGCTATATAATCAGGATAGAGTTGGAGAAGATATTAGAAGAAATATTGAATTCAGCATAAACCAACCACCATTTCCACTTATTAAACTGGCATTAAGTTTTTAAAGTTGACATCAATATTTGGAGGATTGAATGAAACTAACTTTAAAACACCAAGTGTGAGATTATAAATTGGCAAGTCTTCCTGAAAAGGTTGGTAAAGGTGTATTTTTCAAGAGAAAATACCATGCTCAAAGCTATGAAGCCAAAAATTTTATTTTCAGAATCTATTCTAAGAATCAGAAACCTTAGTTATTAATTCCTGTCATTTATCAAGTCAGAAAAAGAGAAAAAGCAGCTATAAAAACAGGAGTGATTAAGAAACATTACAAAGAAATATGACTGTTATAATATTTTGAACAAAGTTTAATCCAAAATTACACAAGAAAAATGTGATACAAATCTTTATATATATATATATATATATATATACACACACATATATAGCATAGATCCTAAGATGTATAAAAACTTGTGTATTTTTCTATGTTAAGTAGAACTTACACACAGATCTCTATTAGTATGAAGGACATATTTTTTTTTCCAGGACTGAGGACCGAACTCAGGGCCTTGCGCGCACCAGGCGGGTGCCCTTCCGCTGGGCTAAACCCCCAGCCCCTGAAGGGTGTATTTATATGTACCCATTTATCTACATACACTCATATGAGGAAGATAGAAACACAAATAGACAAAAGAAAATTCACCAAAATGTTCATAGTATTTTATCTCAGTTCAAGAGTTTCTTTGTACTTTATTTGTACTTGATTAAAAATGTTTTCTTTGTACTTTACAATGACTTTGAAATTTCCTACCATGATGTTGTTCTCAGAAAAAAACGAACAAAAAGTTGAAAATGAATATGTTAGATGTGAACATGTTAGATTCCAGCAGAGGAAGAAAATACATAAGTATACAGCAACACACACACATACATGCATTCATTCATCTATATATCTATATTGTAAAGAGAGTTGGCTAAAATTACACAAACCTTTATAGATTTGACAACATTTCTTATTGCTGGGATGATCTTGAGCAAGTCATTTGATTCCTCAGTATTCATACATGCAAAATAAAATACTTCTATTTTTACATATTTCTGTATTGCTTAGGAATTTTGAGGGAAAAAGCAAAGCCTGTAACAATACTTTTTATAATATTGTTGGAAGGATACAGAAAGATCATAGATTAAGAGGGAGCACTGAGGAACCCAGCATGGGAACAGGCAGGTCCAGAGCAGCACATAGGCAGCAGCAAAAATAATGAGAAGTCCTCTCAAAACACTGCCACCTGCATGAGTATGACAAAGTGAGTTCTTCATCTTTTGAGTTATTCTGATTAAGATTCAAATTTCAGAGAGAGCCTTTTGTTGTCTTGTGTAGGGGTTTGTACACAATACTTTGCCAGAAAAGGACAGAGCATTAGACAAGCCACCCTAACAAGACTACAGACTCATTGTGAAATCAAAGATAATTGCCAGTAGGGGTGGATGGATGCCTGAAGACAGAAAGAGGAAGGAAGGAATGAAAGAAGGGAGGGAGGAAGGGAAGGAAGGAAGGGAGAGGGAGAGATGGAGGGAAGAAGGAAGGAAGGAAAGAAGGAGAGAGAAAGGGAGAGAAAGAAAGAAGGAAGGAAAGAAGGACGGAAGGAAGGAGAGAAAGAGAGAGAGAGAGAGAAGTCAGGTGCTGTAATAGGGCTTTACGGAGGCCAAAATCCAGAGTGCAGTTCAAGGCCAACCTGGGAAGGAAAGCCTGTGAGACTTTTATCTCCAATTAACCAGCAAAAGCCTGGAGTGGAGCTGTGGCTCAAGAAGTAAAGTACTAGCCTGGAGCAAATAGAATCCCCGGGACAGCTCCCAGGCCCTGAGTTCAAGCCCTAAGAGCAGCACATAAAAAACACACACACACACACACACACAAAAACAAAATACATCTCTCCATGTGACCTGGTATAGTTGTTGTGAGGATCTTATCAAATGTCTGATACAAAGTCTAGCTCAGTGTAGCTGAAAGACAAAAAGGAAAGGAAACAAGCACAAAGGAAGGAAGAAGAAATGAAAGAGCTGTAGCATAGGTTCTGTCTCAGCAGTGGGGCAGCCGAAGCTTGACTGAGACAGCCACACCATAGGGGTTAGCTAGGTTTTCTGGATGACAGCCCCCAAGAGTGGCCTGAAGTTCATAGTACCTAAAGATCTAGAGTGTACTTAGGCTGCTACTGGCCACTATCAACATCTACAGGCAGCTGAATAGAGCAACAGACATTTCTAAACTCTGCCAATTTTTTACAAATCTGGGAGACATGTTGGAGTAATTGTGGCCACAACCTGAAGAAAGATGTCCATGAATATTGTCATTTTAAAATACTTTGTTTTTAAGTCCTAAAGCACAAGAGCCTAAACCTGACCTGAGATCCACCAAATACTGTGGTAACTTTAGGGAAGGAAGACCAACCCGAGACATTATCCACCCGTGAGATTTACCTGTGGATAATCTTGAACAAAGCTGATTTGGATGTCAAGGGATTTGGGGCAGAGGAGAAAGGAAAATACTTCTTCATCACAGACATTTCAACGTATCAGTTTTCAATTAGTCAATCGAAAAAAAGGCCGGGAGGATGTAGACTCTCCCCTGTGGACAAAAGGAGACTACTCTTCTATTCATACTGACCTACCACAAAACTGATGAGAATTAGATGATTATAGGACACTGTGAATTTTGCTTTCCATAACTTTTGTAGACTTTAAGCTTCAGAGATTTCATATCACTTATGAAACTGCTTTTTAATGCATTTTTTAGCTCACTGATTGCAAGTAATGATATCACCAACCAGATGGGTTATCCAAAGAGATTATTCTAAGATTTCAATGGAGAAATTCAAGCCAAGT